ACAGCTCCCGTTTCCTTTTCGACTCCTCTAAGTCCCTTTCTCGCTGTTCCATCTTTTCTTTCCGGCGTTCGTCGTCGCGTATGACACCTTTGTACATGGCCTGGACATTTGTCATGTTTCAAATGGGATGGTAAGTGAAAATTGCCAACCTCATGTTGCAATTCCTGCTGGAAATGCACTCCCCATATTGTCAACGCGGCGAACCCGAGGGACGCCCCAACGTCAACTTGGCGCGAGTTGACATCGCTGAATGCTAGAGTACGGGGTGGAGAAGCAAGAACGAGAGAGTATGGCCGATTCAGTCAGTTTGAGGAAGAGTGGTTGAGAGATCGCCAGCACTAGAGACACGCGAGGAGAGCTGAGAGAGTGATTGAGAACCATAATTCCCAAACATACGTAAACTTGTCGCGAGATTCGAACAGGAACGCTAGTGTGGGTAAGATGAACTTTAAGCTCTTCAAATTGTGTGGAAAGCCGTTCTGTGATTCGAGACTTGACCAAAAGGCGGCCCATCCCAAACAGGTGTACACACATCAAAGTGAAGTTGTCTCCTCCTCCCAGTAACTTCGAAGCCATCCTGCTGCGGCCGACCTTCGGGTGCCATGGCTCATCTTCTGGTGTGTCATGCAACAAGGCATCATATTCTCGGGCTTATCGACGTTGTAGGAATTCGAGACAGCGCTGAAAGAAGTGGTGAACGCAAAACGACTTTCAGCCTCAAAGATGAACAATTTGACGGAGATCGCTCTCAAGTCTATGGCGGTGAGCTACTTGAATCCTTCGTGCTCTGATACGATCTCAACTTATGTCGGCTCAGGACGACACTCAGCTCGTCTCTATCCTTTTTCGCACACACAAGTCGTTGCAATCTGCTGCCAAGATATCGAGTCTCTACGTCTTTGACGCCCTGGCTCGAGCTGCACGTACTCAAGTTTCAAGCATGGACTTACTGGCGACATCAACACCCATCCTGGTAACTGCGCTACCTTCCTACTGAAGCTGGAAGGCATTCTTGACGGCTTGTTCCAAAACATGGCTTCCGTCCCACTACCAGAGGCAAAGGTTAGTCTCAATAATGCTGATGCCCTCTTCGCCCCTTCCAAGCCCTTCAGCTGCGCACACATGTCTTGTCTTCTGCGCGTTCTCTTGTCGAATTAGTCCAGTTCCTGACTTGCCATCTCGTTTCTCCAGGAAAAGTCGAAAAAAGTTCTCGATATATGGGTGAAAGGGAGCACGTTCCCTGCCTCCGTTCTAGCTCGGCTCAAAGAAGTGGTGAGCAACGAACCAGGAAAAGGTGCATATCACAGTTGCAACATGTATTCGCTAAGTACCCTGATAATCTCACCACATTTTCGCGTTCCTTCTGCCCTCGATCTGTGAGACAGCGAACTGAAATATTCTTGGTTTGTCGTAGATAACGGAGTAAAAGTGCCGACCGATCCGCGTCTCCACGCTGCCGCACCTCCTCCGACTGTCATACCATCATATGCCGTGCCACCAGCTGCTCCCAGTGCCGATCCCCAGGCTACACTTCTTGCCCTGCTCACACAGGCTGCGGCCAATAACGCTGCTGCGTGAGTTGTTTTGACTTTTTTACGGTCGTGGTTTGTTAACATGGGACCACAGCCAAGCACCTCCGATTCCGATTCCTCCTCTACAGCCCAACTATCAACAGGCTGCTTTGCTGCAGCAGCTTTCTCTCGTTGCCAGTCTTGGAAATGTCTCTCAGCCTCCTGTTCCTGCAGCGATTCCTGCCTATCCTTCTGTATCACCACCGCCATATGCGCCCAATGGGGGAGACCGAAGGGACCCGAGAGTCGATGGCAACGACTATCGAAGAAACGACGAACGAGCCAGCTTCCGTCGTGGCCCTCCTGGCCGCTACGATAGCCGTGACCGCGACCGTGACTCTCGCGATTACGGGCACAAAGACGACAGAAGAGGTGGCCGACGCGATAGCAGATCTCGCAGTCCGCCAAGCCGATTTCCTGGGCGGCGCGAGGTCCGCCCCTACAGTCCGCCTCGTCGACCTTCTCTGCCCGAACCAGCACCGCCACAGCCCGTCGGACGAGCCCCGCCAGGACCGCACCGGGGAAGGATGAATTCGGGAGAGATATCCGGCCCGCATCGCCTTCCCCGGAACCACCTGACGATCTTGTCGCACCACCACCGAAATCTCCGCCCGCGCCCGTAGTCTCTCCGCGTGTAGAACGCGAGCCCGCTGATGCGCCTGCTGCGAGTAATCACGATCATCAGATGTCATTACCATCCTCGGTAGATGCTACAAGCCTTGTCTCGAATAAAATTCCGTCCAAGCAGGGCCTCGAGAGTTTTAATCTGGCGACGTTTGATTTCACTGCCGCAACTTCGTGGGAGACGCTTGGGAATTTGTGGCAGGTCACACACGGTTACCCGCCGTCGACCGAGGAGCTCATGGCTTTTGTCATGTCCGGAGGCCAGATGCAACCGTCCCAGCAGTTGTCCCACCAAAAGCAGCAGCAGCAGCAGGTGTCACAGCAGCAACAATGGGGCCGTCAAGGCCAGCCAAGTAGTCGCGGTGGATTTCGGGGCAGGGGCGGCAACTTCAGAGGATCGGGCAGAGGGAACCACGGTGGCGGGAACCACTACGGCGGTGGCTATCGGGAGGACGGTGGTAGTCAGTGGCAGAGCAGTGGGTCCGGAGACACAGACGCGGTCGTACTTGGAGGCGGCCAGGATATCTCTTCGATTCCCGACGCAGGCGCCTCTGGAGGACGGATGCAGAAAGTGGGAGAGAAATGGCTTTTTGTACGGGAAGAATAAGTATCTTTCGTTTATCATTATTGTTTGGCCGCTAGTACGATATCCAAATGCACGCATATCAGTAAATGTTCAAAGTCCAATCCTCACACGCGTCAAGTACTAGTCGTCGTCGTCATCATCCGCTCCTTTCTTGCCCTTCTCTTTTTCTTCTTCCCTTTGCCCTTCTTACCGCCGTCCTCTCCTGTCATTGCCAGATATTCTTTGATCGACGGTAGTGCAGAACTAGCCAGTGGAATCAATCTCGCAGGCTTGTCCTCTTCCTCATCCTCCTCCATTTCATCAGCAGGTGGCAGGGACATCTGTCTCTCAACGACGAGTGCTGTGGAGGCGCTGGCTTTTCCTCGTCCGCAAACCACGTCCGCGGAGGCACGGACGATTCTACTTCAGGCTCGTGCGCGACGCGGTCTGGCAAGGGATTGACATCCGCATCATCATCATCGTCCAGCTCAAGTCCCTGGTACTCCATGACACCGGCAAATATATCCAAGTCAGCATCGTCATCTTCCTCAACAACAGCCGGGGGTTGCGGGACAGAGGCATTCGGGACTACTGCCGTCGGCTCTACTTCGTCAGGAATCTCCTGGATCTTGCGTTTTTTCTTGCTCTTCGATGTGGCCAACTCTCCATCTGGTTTGACCCGTTTCTTTTTAGTCTTCTTCTTCTCTTCCACGATACCGATAGGTTTGAATCCTATTGGCTTGAATTTGCTATCTTTAATAACCTCAGTGGGCTGAGCTGCTGCGCGCTTCGATTTGAGGACACTGAGCATTTCTTCGCGCGTTCGCTTTCCATCCACCGCAGGCCTAGGCTGAGAAGCAGAGCTCACAAACGCCTGCTCGAGTGAATCGTCGTCAACGGTCGAAGAGGATGCCTTGGCTTTGTTTTGTTCCAGTAGCGCAAAGTCTAGCCCTTTCACAAGGACTGAGTGCTCGCCGTCTCCCCCCAAGTAGCGCCGCTGATCGTCAGTCTACGAATACACATGGTAAGATTGGATACGAGCCACCACATGAATGGAGCAGCAATTCACGCACTGCTGAGTCTCCCACGCGCTTCTCGAAATCATCCAACACAGCTTCAACATGAGCGAAGTCGTTTGTCCCACCATCTCTGCGCTCGGCGGCACGGTCGCGGTAAGAACCATCTGACTTCTTCACCTTCCTCGGTTTGAATGCGGTTCAGAGGCACTAATTGTCTTGGGACTATGTCAGAACTCCTTAGCTCGGGCCAACAGTTGCGAGTTCAGAGACATACGCATGCAGAGAGCCACGAGATCGCTGTGTTTGCTTCCCAGAGCTCGTGAGCAGGTGCCGGAAGGCGTCCTACACGCCAAGACGAGCAATGAGACCAATCATGTGCGGTGAACGCAGGTGGGAATTTGGGCAGACCTGATCCATGCCGACTCTATTTGAATGCCCAGTCCTGCTTTGCACTCGATGATGTGCAGGTTGAATCCTCGGGTTTTGCAGATGTAGGTCAACTTCAGAGATGATCTTGTTCAAGTGTCAGCACCGCCTCCCTCGATCATTGCGCAGGCACTGATGGCAAAGCCGGTCCCTCATCTCGTCTTGGCAGTAGCCGCTGTCCACCATGATCCTACCGAGCGAAAGCGACAAACCGCAGACTATATATCCAAATGAATTGAACGACACGATGCCCTTGGGTGACACGGACGCTCCCCCGGCGTACGAAGTCAGCCAAATAGCAACTGCATCCACCTTTCCCACCGATTCTAAGCGGCCTCCACCACTCGGTGCTACAAGCAGCACACTACCGATCCCAATAGCCTCTTCGTCGAGGTTATCACCCGTTTCGAGTTCCTGGTTTGGATTCACCTCACCGACAGTGCGTCAAGTGCGCTCAACGGTATTGGGACTGGTCAAAGATCTGGTGAAACTACCTCACGAGGACCGCTCGTCTGTTGGAATCAGCATTCTCAAAAGTTGTGCGGACGCCTGCTCCGCCAACGGCCTTTCGATCAGCTCTGTGCTGCAGGAGAAGAGCGTGGAGGGACACACACCTATCTACTGGGCGGTTGTGAAGCGGCCCTCCGATGTAGAATCCGACCAGCTCCAGGGGACTGACTTGCTCAGCGCTCTCATAAGCTTGGCCTCACCTCTCACTCCTGCTACCATCTCCGACGTGCGACTAGCATGCCTGCTCAATTCCGACCAACTGCTTTTCCAGCGGCTGCGGAGCTCTCCTGAATTCTCACCGCTTAGTGCGACCGACGAAATGATTCTCGATGCCACCGTTCCTCACGATGATATAACGGTCGAGAATGTTGCGCCCACAGAGACGGATGGGGCCGGTTCCGGCGCGTTTGTTGTCGACTTTGCGGTACCGCACTTCCAGAAGCGCATGCTCCTCGGGAAGAGCATCGTGTTAGAATTCATTGCGCGGAGTCGGATGTGGAGACTGGCTTTCTACGTTTCCCCCCACGAGAATCGGCGACCAGGCATGCCACCATCAGGGACATGGTATGTCACGCTCGGCTTGCTGGAACACTCTCCCCCATCCTGGATTGATTCGCGACTACTTATCCCGCCACCATCTGAGCCAGATGGGCCCATTGGAACACCTGCGCGCGGAATTTTCGGCGCAGGGAAATCTCGGCCGCGACCGACGCTGTCGATGCGGCTCAAAGCCAATGATCAGCTGAAACCGCATCCGAGAGGACATCTGCGCAGTTACATTGTGGTTCTACTTGATGGCTCGGATAATGATGGTGGTCTTGGGGGCTTCAATATGCGTATGTTCAATTTTGCTCAAGTAACCGCCCAAGCCACCCGCTTACAATTTCCACGATCAGGGGATGTCCGTATATATATCCGGATGAGACACTGCGATTTCGCCTTGAAGCGCGATTAGCAAGACCAGAGGCAGAGTGTATCATTTGTTAGCTTCAAATCTTTCGACTGGATCTCATCCGATCACATGCGCAAGACGCGGTCCCGTGACTGTGGATAAAGTACGACTCGATTTGAAGAGCGCGAGTAGATTACATTGACGTGTGTATAGTGGATTTATGCGGACTATTCAGCAGAATCACAGACATTGCCAGTAGACTGGGAGGGTCGGTCAGCTTTGAAATCAGGCTCGAAGGTGGCTGCTTACAGGGGTTGATGACAGTGCAGGTGGTGCCAGAGACACAGCTTCCAGAGCCAGTGAAGGTAGAGCCTCCACATTGTTGGTACTGCGAAAGTCGATCAGTAAGACGCACAGGCTTCGCAAGAAACAGAGGGACCGACCTGGGCAATAGATCCGCCAGTCGGGCTGGAAGGAGCCGTGGTCGTCGAGCCGGGTCCGCTGGGACTGGTGCTGGAGCCACCGAAGGTCGAGCCGATGTCACCCCACTTGATGTTGGAGAAGACGACGGAGTTGCTTCCCTGGGAAGCCTCGACGGTCTTCGGATCGCCACTGGTGGTGCTGCACGGGCCGCGGAGAACACCAGGAGTCGAGGGGTTGCTGGCCGTAGGGTAAGACGAGTCGAGCCAGTACATGCCAGCGGCGTGGTCGTCCCAGAGACTGAGCGCAAGGACCATTCCACGCTGCAGGGCAGCACCCATCGCCTTCAAGCCACCGCGGCTCTCGAACGAGTTGGTGTCGCCAAAGGCCGTCTTTTGGGCGTTGCAGAACGAGTCGGTGATCGAGTTGACTGCCGGCGTGATCCCGGCGATCTTGGTGTTCGAGTTCTGGATCACCTTGCCGTTCTGGACGTACAGCCGCTTGATCTCAGTCAAAGTTCCGCTCGGCGCGACGAACTGGGTCACGATAGTGAACTTGGAGTTGGTGTCGACGGTCTTGCCCGGGCCGAGGAAAGTCTGGTCGCCCATGCGGTACGAGTTAAAGTCGCAACCGTCCTTGTCGCAGATACTGCCGCTCGCGTAACGGTTGCTGCCGTCACCGCACTCGGTTGCACTGCTGCAGGCGTACAGGCCGGCTTTAGAGCAGACGTGAGGAGTGTAGGCGGCCGCGTTCTTGTTGGCTGGAAGCAGAGTCAGAAGCTGCTCAACCTTATATGTGCGCTCCACATACCTTCCCAGATGTCCATCTCGTTGCAGCAAGTTCCAATCGACCCAGTTCCCGAATTGGTGTCGTTCGGAGAACCAGCCCATCCAACGATGTTGGCCTGTAGATCATCATTCAACACACCAGTCTTTCACCCGGTAGACGGCTGATCACACACCTTTCCGTTTATGAACTTGAGATCGTGAGGGCACTGGCTGTCGCAGTATCCCGTTCCGTACTTGGCACCAGCCTTGTTTGTAGCAGAAATTCCACCATCCATCGGCATCTCAGTCAGGTAGAGCGCGCCGTTGAGCCCACATCCGAGGTTGCTCATGTCAACATCGAACGAGAACTCCTGGTTCAGCAGCTTCAGGGGCTGGTACGACGTGGCGTTGGCCATCAGGTACACTCGGGAGCCGATGTTGGCGCCAGTGACAAACTTGAGAGTAAGCGCGTTGCCCGAAGTCGAGATACCGTACGTTCTTCGCACAGCATGAGCGACCCAATCCAACAATGACGATGTCAGATAACGCACCCAGAATAATCAGCACCATCCAGAGCACAGTTGGCGGTGCAAGTCGCGGGGTCGGGGCACAGGGCCGTGTTCCAGGTGTTTCCGGTGTAGCAGTTGGTGCTTCCGTTAACCGAGTGCAGCCAGCGCCAGTTGGAGTCGAGCACGACAGAGGTCTGCACAGTCGAACAGCTGCCTCCAGCAGTGCATTTTTGCGACGGGAGGGTCGGGTGGTTCTCCGCTTGCAAGGTTCCAGCTTGTTGGGCCGAGGCCGAGAGCGCCGCAGCGAGCAGGCAGAGAGAAGTCAAGGATTTGAATGGAAACATGGCTGCGATTTGTGTGAAATCGAGTACACCAACAACCAACAGTGGATGGTAAGACGCACCGAGTGTTTCTGAAGATCGCGTTCCGAGTCTGGCCTCCAACATTCAGAGAGCACCAGCCTTTATACCATGGCCAAAGTGTCCGACAAGGAGATACATCGGTAAGTGAGCGCAGGTGTTGTGCACGGGACGATGAAGGATCTATCGGCACCAGCGGTACAATGTCGGGATACGAGAGACAGCAAGGCAACGCCAAGGATGGCCGGTGTTTCGCTGGTGGCCCAGCTGTGTCTGGCTTCAGTCCGCTGACCACTGCCAAGCGCGCGGAGAACATGGGAGTGGGCTGTCGGCACGTGAATGGCATATCGGCACGTGATCGAGACAGGCGGGGGTACAAGCAGGTGCCTCTCACGAGTTCTAATAGCTTCGGAAACTCAGCGGAAAATCGGTAAAACACTTCAAGTGGTGCAGGCATAGGCTCCGGCAGATCTGCTTCAACGTCGAGGGATCGCGCGGCTGTGCAGACCAAAGTGGGACTGTCAAGCCCCTATTTGGAATTATATGTCTGCCTCTGTGGGGTAGGTCGGAAATCTTATCTTGCCGTTAATGGCACATGTTTGTCGACATCAATGCTTCTAAGTAGCGCTCTTCGTACTCGCTACAGGTATTGGAGCACTACTCGATCACTTTCCGCAAGCCATGCCGACCTCTTCTGGAGGATTGGCCTCATCAAATAACTCGTCCAATTCCTTTCTGGCCTTGAAACAGTCCTCCAGATCTCTTCCATTCAAACAGGCCACCCTGAACCCACCCGGGGCATCGAAGCGCGATGTGTAGGCTGATCTGCAGCGAAGGGTAGTTGGATGCTAGAGAGCTGATACTTCTCGAGAATCTGTTGCACGCGCTCATCACAGGGCTTGCTCCACATGCGGCGTCCGTGCGGCTTGAAGAGTATCACGCTATAGCCTTTGACAGTGTTGGCCTGCATCTCTTTGTCGGGGCGCCACGGATCTGAGGAGTTCGAGTAGAGCCAGACGAGAGCCTTGACGAAGCCGGCTGGGTACAGGTCCGTCCACTGGTCCGCGAAACGAAGGTGCGCCTCGATGATATGTCCCCCAATCGTTTCGGCATTGATCATCCCGCTATAAGTCCCGAAGTGCTTCTCGACGAAATGCACCAAATATGCCCTGTCTGAGTCGGACACCGGCACGTTGACGTCCCAGTAGTCGAACGTTCCCCCTTTCAATGCGTGTCCACGGGTGGTAGACATCCACACGACACGCCCTCGGCAGACCGCGATGTCCGTGCTGAGGTGATCTCCCGTGAGATACTCGCACCACATGTGGCCTGCAGTCCTGTTCTCCAGGTAGTCGTCCTCGTCGATCAGCAGCCGTGTACCTACGCCCATGGTGTTGAGGTTGTAGATTGGCTTGCTGAAGATGGGATAATGGGGAGGTGGCACGCCATCTCGAAACCGACTAGGTGAGTCCAACTGAGCTTCTGTTCGCTAGGTATATGCTTACGAGGACCGCACAACAGACCCTGTTTCTCGGCGATGTTCAGCTTGTTATACGCCCACCGGTATTCCGGAAACATCACATAGGAGTCGTAATCGCGGACGGGCACGGTAACGCCGTCGCTGGGCACGTGGTCGAAGAACTGGGCTCTGTAAGGCTCGCGGTAAAGGATGGGCATTTTTCACGCGTGGCTGAGTTGTCTGGCGCTGGTTTTTAAACCCAATCTCCGCGAGCTGCCAAGTTTTGCTTCCTCGGATGTCAATGTGGCGCCCTCTTCGGCTCAAAGAATTATACGTTCTAAGGTCGTTCTTGATGTCAGTTTCTAGGAACGTGCTAATGCAAATTGAACGTCATGACACAATCCTTTAAAGCAAGCCAATCTTACGCTGGTCCCGGATCGTCTTCGTCGCTCAAACGTCCATGGGAAATTACATCCTCGGAACTACATACACCTCCACTGTTGGGTGAGTCGGACGGCAAAGATGGGAACTCGAGAATGAAGTGCACCAGACTCAACCTCCAACACTCGCTGGTGCGCAAAGCCCTGGGTGAACAGCTGCTGGAACCCCATATCCCGTATCAAGACGCCAACCTACTCATTGCCGATATTCCGTGCGGAACTTGGTCAGTGAATGGCTGTTGTTGGCCAGGGCGATTTGCTCACAGTGGACCCAGCATGTGGCTGATAGATCTGGCATCTCAAGTCGACCCTTCGACTAACCTTCAAGGATTCGACCTGAACTTGGGACAAGGACCTCCGACTGGCTGGCTTCCCTCGAATATTAAAGACGTGACGCGACTTGATCTTTTTGAGCCCATTCCTAATGATCTGGTGGGCAAATACGATGTCGTGCATGTGTCGCTGGTGGTGTGTTTCGTCGATGACGAGAGAGTCTCCGCTGTCGCAAAGAATATGATGACTTTGCTCAGTATGTCATGGACCGAAAACCCACCGGAATCGCGCTGACATTGTCACAGAACCAGGAGGACACATCCAGTGGGTCGAAATGGCGCTCGACGAAACGACGTTCGAGAGCGCGATACCAGGCTACATCCCCCAAGCGCTCCCCCGCGCGGCAAGCAAAACCTGGCAGATCTCAGAATGGAAATGTCCCAAGGTACGCGGGGTCTTTGACGAGATATGATATATTCTCGCGGTCTGAACCTCGTCAGTGGGTCAATCGCCTTGACTCAATCCTGTCCGAGTCTGGATACGTGCATGTTACAAAACGCGTCCCGTTCATCGACAGAGCGCTGGGACGAGCCTTTGCTGATGGCGAATTGCTCGGGATGCTGCCCATCGCTGCAACAGCCCAGAAGGACAGGCCGGACCTTGTAGTGGACATGAACGAATTCGAAGGCCTAGTGCGGGATGCATTCATCGAAACAGCTGAGAAGCAAGTCGGTTGCTTCCCGAAGATCGTCGTAGTCACTGCGAGGAAGCCCTTGTAATCATGCTCAGCACTGGATGAATTACACACCCGCAGGATATTTCATTAATTTAGCCCCGAGGCTACGAACAACATATTGCACCCGAAGACTCTCAAACGTCATCGGACAGCTGCTAGAGTCTGTCCTCGCCAAATCACCGTGCGGGGGAGCCGGCAGGTATGGCTTTAACCCTACGCAGCGCAACCCGAAAGCAGTCATAGTCGTACCCAAGCCGCTTGTTCTGGCCCGGATGCTCAGATGCAAAAGTCCGTGAGAGGGCCGTATGAAGCATTAGGGAAAGCTCTTCGGCCGTCGGGTGCATCGTGAGACTGACAATTGGATGACAAGGTTATCCGAGGCAGAGGGACTCGTGGGCCGATGATATCGCCGTTCCCGCGATTTTCTCGCATACGACGTCTTTCATTGCAACCTCGAATTTGTGCCGGTGAATGGACAACGGATCTCCTTTTCAACCAAGAGGGAGGGGAAAGGCACAACGGACACGTGATCGCGGACGCTGTGTAATTCACAAATTATATATGGGGTCTCATGTCGAGTACTTAGAGTGGTGACTATCTAGATTCGTGGTATATGAGGGTGAGATGCATGGGTAAAAGAGCTCCGTCTTCACTTTACCGCCAGATGCGCCATTTCCACTTTCCCTTGGAGCGCTGATCCACGGTCGGGGGAGGATCAATCCCTGCTTCGGAATCAAGCAGTGGCCTCTCGATGCCGTCCCTTGTTCTTGCAGCATCGCCCTCGCTGACAGTGCGTCGTCGGTGATCCCTCGTCCGAACGCCATCTCCTTCGTCCTCCTGTCCGCGACCGAATCCGCTCGGCATTCGACGCGGTCGAATCGAGAATCCTGGGCTCACAGGCGACAACCCAATCTGCAGCCCTCCGCTCAAGGATGTCACGGGATTCGGCGGCGGGGGAGATGTAATCGTCTGCGAGCGCAAATGCGATCGGCGACGAGAACCAGACGCCGACATATTCGGCACCGATGCCAACGACGGCAGGGGCTGGGATGCGGTCGATAGCGGACTCCAGGGCCTGCTCTCCAGATCACGAGCAGAAGGCACGCTCTGCGAAAGGAACGGATCCGGAGACTGGGCCTCTGCGGAGGTCCTCGTGTCCAATGACGATGAATCACTACATGTATCCGAGTCTCCTCCGGTGCTGCCGGATTGGACGCTGACAACCCATACTCCTCCGAGAAGGATGACGATGCCCAAAATGACGAGGGCCAGATGTGCTGGAGGGATCAAGGAAAACTGGTCGAAGTAGACCAGGCCGTTGACGATCGACGACAGATTGTAGAAACAAAAAGCAGCTAGGCAGTGATGTTAGCGCAGAAAGGGACTTCGGATATTCGCAAGACACGCACAGGGGCAAACGAGTGTTGGGTCTGCGAGAATCAGAGCCTTATGCAGATACCACAGCTGGAGCAATGCAAACCCGACCAAGCCGAGCACCAGCATCCACGCCTGCCACCTCCAGAACTGATTATCCCCACCCAACGTCAAAAGTAACAGTTCCACCCCACTCTTGGCAAACAAGAGGCACATCCCGGAGAGAATGCCCGAGACTGAGGCGTATGAAATCGCCAAAATTACGCGGGTGCGATGTAACGCTGGGTTCTCCGCATGGCGTGGGTTAGCCGACGAAGAACGCGAGCGGGATTTGCGGTCCAACAGCGGTGTGCGCTCGGTCGTGATGGCTTCACCGATGGTATCAGCGACACCAGTTGTTAAAGTGGAAGGGTTTTCGGGAATTTGGAGAGGAAGATCTGAGGTGCTACCTTCCGGGGAGAGCGGAAGAACGTTCTGGTTGGCTAGACGCCGGGCGAGATGAAACTCTGAAAGGTGAGTCTGTGAGCATCTGGTCAGTGATCCCTTTCAGCGACGGCTGATACACGATACTTACGACAACAAGCGTCACAAGAACGGCGGCTGGGATGTATCAGCATTATACCGTATTTCGAACCACTGAGACGCTCACCGCCCAAGAGGGAAAAGTACACTACAAACGCCGGTCGGTTGAACAGACGGAGCAGATCCTCCAGAGAGCGCGTCGGCTCGGGCACGATACCGAATACAGCAATCAAGATTGCACCGCCGGCAATAAACAGCGTGCCCAGAATCATCCACAGAGAGAAAACATCTCCTAATAATAAACGGGCGAAGAACGCGTTCCATAAGAGGGAAACAGCACCAAGGGGTGCAAGAATCACGACTGGGAGGGACGCGATCTGGACGAGCGAGCCGACGATGTTGGAGGAGATGAATATCGCAAAGCCGACGAGCCAGAGTCTGTGAGTGGGAGGCACAGACACACGTGTAAGCGAGCGTCCCGAAAGCAGCGAAGGAAGGAATGGAAGACGCACGGTCGTCGATGCTCCACACGCTGATGTGCCGGGTCCAGCGCCTCGTTCATGACATGGCTCTTCCGTTGAATCGTCAAACCCAAAGACTGAATGCATGAGGCCAAAAGGCCGATGGAGATGCCTAGGACGATGTGCGAAGCAGAGGCGGCGTCCATGACGGTGAAGGCTCGAGCCACGTCAGCTCGTGAAGCTCGGAAGGCCGAAGATGCGGATATAGGATGTGTAAGACAGAAATAGGATGTGAACGTTGGCAGAGGATGCTAGATGTAGTGGACGTCGAGGTGAAGCGGTGGTGATGTGCCAAAGAATTGATCACACGATCGCGACGTGCGTCATCTCCTTTTTGCCAAGCGTTTGAATTAGCCTCACCAGCGCCGACCAAGCTCACACATCGTCTACTGGTGTCGGGCCAACTAATCATGTTCTATTCATACATCCATATCATCTTCTAGCCTAGATAACTCGAAGTCATCCCCCGTTGGGCGGTCCAGTTCGTATGCAGAGATCAATTGTCGAGGCTGTCCAATTTGGGCAGCACTGAAGCTCTTGGCTGCGAAAGGAGACGGCCAGAAAATGAGATAACATATCGAAGCGCACAAGATGCCAATGAGGCCTCCAGCGATAACATCCTCTTTGTGATGTCTCTACCTCAGCGATTGGATTAGAATGATGATGGAGCTTGGAAGCGAGTTACGCACGTAGTCTTCGAGTCTGGTGACTGCGACGAAGATAGCCCAGCAGAGTGGGGCCAACGTCAGTGTGAAACGGGCCAGATGGCTTGACCGCAGCGAGCCAGAGGCGGCAGGAGAATGGAAACACCACGCCGCAAGCTGTCCTGCTAGCCAGAACGACAAGAATGTCATCCCCGCAAATGCAGCTGATGAGTGGCCGGATGGGAAGGAACGTCGTCCGTCGAGGATATCATGATGTTTTCTGCAGAAATAAAGGTCCGTATTGGTTCTTCGAGATAAAATGGATCTCACCCTGTGCAAACAGACTCGACAGCATCCCATTTACAACGAGCGAGAAAATCCGGTCGCAATCTCCCTAGATCGAGTTAGCGGGGACAAAACAAGGTCAAAAAGGGGTACCGATTCTAGAGAAGCTTCATTTGAGTGCAGGAGTCTGAGGACAAGATACAGACCTGTTCTTCAATGCGTTTGTGAACACCCGCGCCAAGCCCCTGCCCGCAAGAAGCGCCAGCACCCCATGGTGCACTGCGAAGAGTGAGCGCCGATAGACACCACCGGCTAGCACAAAAGCCCCAGGGACGATAAGCGCAATGAGATGGTTTGTTGGGCCGCCAATTCTGCCCCAGTGCAATCCGGTAAGTTAGGACTAAGGAGGTCACGAGCACTGACTGGCTTTTCGCATGCGGATGGCTGATGAGTGTATCATCCAAACGAAAGTCACGTTCGAAAACTGGTAGTCGGGCTGCGACCTCAGAAAGGATCCAGAATGCTGTCACGACAAGCCTGCGTTCTTGCTATTAGGCCAGGCTGAGACTTTGCTCTAGGGCGGACAGACCAGTCAGTGAGATACGATCTGTCAGGCCAGTCAAACGCATCAGTCCCGAACACTCTCCTGATTCTCGTTCGCAGTGACATCGTTGTCAGTGACAGAGCGTGGGGAAGCGTGGGAATCTGTGGGAAACCCCTGCCGGGGCCCGTGCAGACTTCAAAAACGCCATCGTCACATGCGTGACGTGTCGCGTCCGTGACAGTTCCTCTCTCTTCTTACTTCACTGCTCCGTCTCCATGGCTAAGGAGAAACCTTCTGCGAGCATCAAAGCCAAAGCCAAAGCCAAAGGTCAAAAGTCGATCCAATCGTTCTTCAAGAAACCCGCTGCCTCCAAGGCCAAAGGTAGAGCGAAAGCCACCGACGACGATTCGGATGGTGCAGCGCAGGAGGACGAGGTCTTTGTCGCCGACGGAGACGACGGAGACGCGGTAATTGGAAGTGAAGCTGTGTCTTCGGACGACGAAGGTCAAAACGCGACCCGCACCACTACCACATCCTCCACACGAGACCTCGCGAAAGTCATCCCTGAGATGTCCGAGCTACCCCCAATCAACGAGATTCCGGCCATCTTCGCCGACCTCGTATCACGCATCCCCAAGATACAATCCGTCGCGCAGCGCCTCGCGGGCCGCAAGCTTCGCGTTGCTACGATGTGTTCCGGCACTGAATCACCCTTACTGGCACTGGAGTTGATTGGGAAGGCCGTTCTCGACCAGCACCAGTTGGGCCTGGATGTCGAGCACGTCTTTTCGTGTGAAATTGAGCCCTTCAAACAGGCTTACATAGAACGAAATTTCCACCCTCCGTTGTTGTTCAGAGATGTCTGCGAGTTGGGCGGGGATGAAGCGTGCGTGATGATACCTACAATGCTTGAACATACATAACCAACTCCCTAACAGACATACTGCATACGGTGCACTCAAACCTGTTCCCGGCAATGTGGACCTGCTTGTCGCCGGGACATCTTGCGTTGATTACTCCAACCTCAACAACGAGAAACAGGACATCGACGCCAAAGGTGAATCTGGGCAGACTTTCCGTGGGATGATGTCCTGGGTCAAGCGTCACCGTCCGCCGCTCGTGATTTTGGAAAATGTGTGCTCGGCCCCATGGCCTCGAGTCGAGGAAGAATTCGAGAAGATTGGCTACGCTGCTCGGTTTGCCCGATTTGACACGAAGCAGTATTACATTGCGCATACCAGGACGCGGGTGTACTTGATCGCTGTCGACATGCGAGGGAAGAGCAAAGACGTGACGAGTTCGAAGCCTGGCTTCAAGTGGAAGAAGAAGCACACAAGGGATGATGACTCAGATGCGGAGCCCGACTCTGGAATCACTGACGAGTGGTACCGGTTGGTCACCGAGGACCTGAAGCGACCCGCGTCTTCACCTTTGGACGCATTTCTGCTCGCGACGGACGATCCACGAATCCACGAAGCACGACAAAAGCTGGTCAAGGAGAGCTATAATGCAGTTGACCGCAAGACGGGGAGGACAGATTGGAATCGATGTGAGCGACGACATGAGCGTGCTAGAGTCGAGGAGATGTTGGGCAAGAAGCGACCACTAACAAACTGGGAAGATGGTGCGTGTGCTCCCACAATTTTTGATGCTCTGAGCTGGAAAGAGTCTAGGCGGGTCGTGTCGTATGCCTGATTACTGCTGGGCTGACTGGGGCGTTGGTCAAGTCGAGCGTGTCTGGGATCTGATGGACATCTTGTTCCTCCGCTCAGCGAAGAAAGGCATCGACCCGTCGTACAAAACGTCAGTTGTGTCTGCTCGATGACCACATTTATTTACTGTGCAGCAGCTCAGTGTGGAATCTCTCTCAGAACGTGGACCGTTCTCTGGGTGCGCGGACCGGAATTTCCCCGTGTCTCACTCCGTCGATGATTCCGTACATCACGAACCGCGGCGGGCCAATGGTGGGGCTGGAGGCGCTCTCGATGCAAGGCTTGCCTGTGGACAAATTACTTCTGACGCGTGAGACGGAGGATCAGCTGGCCGATTTGGCAGGGAATGCCATGTCGACTACTGTCGTCGGCGCGTGCATTCTCGCTGCGCTCGTGTCCGGTATGCACCTGCTAAAGGAGGGCGTCAAAGCGGTTGATGCGATGGAGGTTGACGACGAGGTACAAGGGATTGCTGACGTCATTGGCGAGGACAAACTGGTCTCGCGTTCGCTGGATCTGTCTGCTGCGAGCTCAGACTGCTCGCTACCCGAGCTGCTGAAGCTCGCACACGAGAGTGCGCGGTTGTGCATGTGCGAGGGCCGAACGGACATCACGAGCCGTCCGATCAACCGCTGCAAGGACTGCGGATCAACCTCCTGTATTAGGTGTGGGGGTCGGCCAGAGCACAACGCGTCGCTCGTGACCGAGACCCGCGTCCATCCATCGAAGTTTGCAGATCAGATCAAAGCGACGTTGCCCATGTGTCTAGCATTCGAGGGCATCTCGAAAGAGCTGCTCGATGCACTGAAGGGTGACGACGACTATTCGGAGTCATGGGCTGTCTCCGTGCAGCGCATCGCTCAAGCAGAGCTGCGATTCATCGAGCCCAAGCGCCAGGAGATCTGGGTCGCGTGCTACCAATCTCCGTTTGCGCAGCTGGAACTGCATTTGCATCCGCAGCAGCCCGAGTGGCGGCTGTACGCTAAAGCCGGCGAGACAGAGCCGGCGAGAGCAGAGATCCGTAAGATCCTCAAGGCGCCTGTGGCTCGATTGCGCTGCTCAGATGGCCTCTTCTCCGGCGCTTGGGAAGTCTGCTTGCCTCAGTTCTCGAGCGCACAGGTCGAAATCTCTGGGGAAGGCGAACTGGTTCCATCCTGGGAAACGAGGCTGGGCTTGACGGACGATGAGTTTCGGGACAAGAAGGTGTACTCGAAGCTGCGGATTAGTGCTCCGTCCAACACTCAATTCGATCGTGATATCTCGGGCGTGTACACGCTTTTGGATCAATGCGGGACCGCCAACGGAGCACTGCATCGCAAAGAGGAGGATCTGCACTCCAGTTCCCCGCCTTTGTTCATGCTGCTCGACCCAGAACGCACGACTGAGGACAACGACTCCTTTGTCTTCTCAATCAGCCCTCGACGGTACGAGTTCGGCGAATCCCGGCCCATCGTCGGGATCTTGGACTCGAAGTGGCGCCCGTCAGACACGACCAAAGTGAGCAAGGTCATATGTCGGTTCCCCATTTGGAAAACCTCGGACAGTCTCCGGCTTGTGGTGAGTGGTGCAGAGCTCGTGTACGGAAAAGAAAAACTAACGAGTTTTGATAGCCTACACATCACCCCGACGCCCGATATGCGGTCCCACAGGACGTGCTTCAGCTGACGCACGACGCTTGCGGGAATCCCTCCGCTGTGTTGGTCTGTCGGGTGCCTCTTCCTAGCGAAACGGGCTCGGAATGGCCCCGCGGGAAGTGGGGACAGATAGAAAAGGTGTCCGAGCGGCCTGTATTCCGCAAGTTGGCGTGGCTGCTCGAGCGGATCCGACACATCGACGACCGTTTCTCGGGCACATGGCACACACTCGATCTCCCTGACCACTTCCATCACTGTGACCGCTGTGCACCGCGGCCACCCAAGCTAGAATGGGTGCAGACGGGAAAGAACAAGACTGTTGCTCTGGAAGATTCAATCCAGGCCGGCGCTTACGAGCGCAGTCTCAAAACACGACCCAGTCCGTTCGTGACACAGCTGATGATCGACCCAGCAGCTGCCGATCTAGCGACTGTCCGTGTCGGCTTCAACGCCCCGACCCTCGTCCACCGCGCCCTCTCCCGTCTTCCGACCGCCAACCGTCCCGAGCGGCCCGAGGTCTCGTGGAAGCTGAACACAAGCTACGTCGCGACTGTGAACAGGACCCTGCCCAAATTTGTCATCAAGAGCAACAAGCAAGACCAGGAGCACACGCAGCCGCCCAACTTCAAGACAGAAATGACTCTGCGCCCGGAGCAGTTGCGCTCGCTACACTGGATGATTCAGCAGGAATCTTCCGATGCGGGCCCGTTCCTGGAGGAAGAGATCTCCGAGGCCATGCTCCCGTCTCTCGGCTGGCGCGCCGAAGGCCGTGCGACGCGCAAAGTGCATCTGCGAGGCGGTGTTCTTGCCGATGCAGTTGGGTACGGCAAAACAGCCATCACGCTCGGGCTGATCGACTGCAACGCGAAATCGGTGGCGAAAGAGTTCAAGAAAGCCGAGCAGATCGGGGCGATGGCTGGCAAGATCCGCACGAAAGCGACATTGATAGTGGTACCGCCCCATCTGACCCGCCAGTGGCAAAGCGAGGCGCAGAAGTTCGCTAGAAAAGGTCACTTCAGCATCGTCGTGCTCAGTACCCAGTCTAGCCTTAACAAAGTGTCGATCGAGGACATCCAAGATGCCGATCTGGTGATCGTTGCCTCCAGTCTGCAGAAAGGCACGGCGTACCTCGACAGTCTGGAGCTGCTCGCAGCGAACGGGTCTCTGCCACCCTCGGCGTCCGGCGGTCGGCACTTCAATGCAAGGCTGGATGAAGTATGCGAGTCGTTGAAGAAGCAAGTGGATCGGTTGAGGGACGAGGGCTCCAAGGCCGTGTTGGACGAGATCAAGGAGGCTCAGATCGGTGTGTTTGTTCTTTCGTGCAGGCTCCAAAAGTTGCTCATCCGACCGTAGCTGAAGAAAAGGCTGCCCAGGCTCGGATTCTGCTGAAGCGACTCAAGGGTCGTGCCTACCGCGAGGCCCAGGAAGCCAAGGCCAAAGCTGCTGTGGCAGAGCTTGTCGATGACCAGATGGATGTCGACGAGCACCCGTCGCCCACATCCTCCAATTCACGCAAGGTTGAAGTTGTTATCCCCCTTCCTCCAGGCCGCCGTGCTGGCAAAGAGATGCCGCTGGCAGACTCTGACTCCGACGACGAGGAAGAACAACCCAAACGGTCTCGCCGTGCCGCCGCCAAGAAGGTTGCCACGATCGTTATCTCAGATGACGAGGAAGACGATGAGCCCGTAGCCAAGAAAGCTGCCGCTCGCGGCAAGGCCAAACCGCCTGCCAAAGCCAAAACTAAAGCGAAACGAGGTCAGTCAACGGACGATGACGAAGATTATTCTGCTGTGGATGATGAAGATGACTACGATGATGACGAGGACGACGAGTTCACCGACACGCCTGTAACGTCTGTGCCCGAGTCGTCAGATTTCGATGAGGAGGACGAGGATGAGGCACCCAAGAAACGCACCGCAGCCAAGAAGCAGCCAGCCAAGGCCAAAGCTCAGGCTGAGAAACGACCCTTGAAGCGGCGAAAATCTAGGACGACCGATAACGACTCGGAGGACTCGGAGACCAGCGGCCGGCCAGCTAAAAAGCAGAAACAACGAGTGATCTCTGATCCATGGAAGCTCGACACGGCGAAAACGCGGAAAGACTGGACGCAGATGCTCGCGCCTCCGCTGGAGATGTTCCATTTTGCGCGCAAGGTCGTCGACGAGTACACGTACCTGGACGGCAAGGTGCACACACTCGTCACCCATCTCACTGCGGAGCGACACTGGGTGTTATCGGGCACGCCTCCCGTGCACGATTTCGCCGCCCTCAAGACGATCTCGGCCTTCCTGGGGCTTCATCTCGGCATCGACGACGACGGCGAGGGCCAATCGACCGAAGTCAAGAAGCGGAAGCGGGAGCAGACGGATGCGGAGAAGTTCCACTCTTTCCGGGAGGTGCACTCGCTCGAGTGGCATGCCAATCGACATGAGCTGGGACAGCGCTTCCTCGATCGCTTCGTGCGCCAGAACGTGCCCGAGATCGACGAGATCCCGTTCGAGGACAAGGTGGTCGAGATCGTGCTGCCCGCTGCCGAACGCGCGATCTACCTGGAGCTCGAGCACCACCTGCGGGCGCTGGACATGACGATCAAGCGCGGGAAGAAGAGCGACAGCGATCGCGAGAAGCGGCTGAACAAGTCGCTGGGCGACAGCAAGTCTGCGGAGGAGGCCCTACTGAAGCGCTGCTCCCATTTCGACCTCGACACGAAAAACGAGAATGCCATGAAAGCCTGTGATGTCATCGTCGAGGAGCGCGAGGAGCAGCTGCAGGAATGCAAGGACGAGTTGCTGCAGGCGGTCAAGGCAGGTGTCAAAAAGGAGAAGGAGCTCGGCACTCTCCCCGAGGAGTCTATTTTCTCGATCTGGGTCCGGTCGATGACAGACACAGGCGTCGATGACGTCGATGCGACCACCCACATCCGCGAAATCCTTGAACAAGCCGACGTGGCCTCGATGAAGAAACACCGGAAATCCGGCCCGGACAAGCTCACCGGCAAAGTCAAGGACGAGATCTGGAAGCACCGCGAAGCGACGCACGAGATCCGGCGTCTCTGCAAAGAGCTCGTTGGGCGCGTTCGCTCGCTGCGCTTCTTCTCCGCTGTCCGAGATCTCCAGAAAGAGCGCGACAGTGACGAGGAGCCACTCGACGTCACGTGCGTCGCGTGCAATCGCGCTCACGTGCCGGTCTCAGAGCTGAGTGTCTTGTCCAGTTGCGGGCATATGGGATGCTCGAGCTGCGTGAGAGACTGCGCAGACAAAGAGGAGTGTGTCTACCGCAAGTCGGGCTCATGCATGGCCGCGGCGAGACTGCTGAACGTCGTCAAGGCTGACACGCTCGGGGTAGACGACGAAGCGAGAGATGGCAGGGGGAAGCACTACGGGAAGAAGCTCGAAGAGGCCATGGATATGATCAAGTTTGTAAAATTCTCCTCTAGTCGCCGCTCGTCATTGACCAGTCCCCTTCAGAAACAAGATCCCGAAGGACGAACGCGTCCTCCTCTTCGTGCAGTTCCAGGACCTGACGAAGAAAGTCGCCGAAGCATTGACGGACAACGGCATCAAGTTCCTCGAGATCCGCGGATCTGCCTCCGTCAAGAGCAAGAACCTCGAACGGTTCCAGGAGAACGGGGCTAAGAACAAGACCGACGTCGAGCGCGTTCTGTTGCTCAATTTGATGGACGAGAGTGCCTCGGGCGCGAACTTGACCTCGGCGAACCATGCCATCTTCCTATCTCCGTTATTGGCCCCGTCACAAGAGGTGTACGACGCCTGCATGACCCAGGCGGTGGGACGGCTCGTGCGATACGGCCAGACCAAGCATGTCAAAATCTGGAGATTCCGATCGGTTGAGACGATGGACGAGACGATCTATGAGCAGAGGGAGAACGGCAAAATGTCTTTGGGGATATGAATGTATATGTGTATCGCGCTGAATAATGCAACATTCAATCTTTCAACATACGTACAAAAGTCAAGATAGAGAGAGGGTAAAATACATGGTACATAGCGCTAACTTTTGGTACTGTATCGGATTTCCGCGTCCATTACCCCTTCGCGGATGCAGAGCTTGCTCAGAAATAGACGGTCGAAGGAAATATCCCTGGGCCCTAGACGCACTCCGCCGCGGTACGTCGAGTCAAAGTTGTCGCCACATTGCTGCTAGACGCGTCAGAGCAAGAGCTGGTCGGTGCTTCAACCGCACACACCTGGATGAAGGTATAGAACATCTGGGCGACTTGCTGCGCGACGTCTGCGTATGTAGAATGGGTGTCCGTTTCGGGATCATACAGGGCGACCTGTCCCACGGGATTCAAGTGTCCGTATCCAGGCCACTATCGAAGAAGTTCAGACGAATCGGCTCGTGAGAGGAAAATGGGGACGCACAGCTAATCGAAACGGCACAACCTCGATCCCTCTCAACGCAGGTGGCAAACAAAACTCGATCGAGGTATTCCGCAACATCATGCCCTCCTGATATATCGCTAGGCCCAGTGGGACGCCGATGTCCCGCCCATCACGCGCAGAGAAGACGATCCGCGTCGCACAGTCGCACGAGTTACGTGCCGTGTGGCGCGCGGGGCGCGTCGGGGATGGGACAGTGGCGTGGGAGACGACGGCGGAGGTGATCATGCTCGGCTCGCGGTCGGGATCGGCCTCTGCATCGCGGCCGAGCGCAGATTCGAGGGGAGCATCGAAGGCACCGCGCGGTACGCGCACGGTGCGGGGGGAATTCGGTGAGAGGGTCGTGCGCGCAGGGCGGGGCCGCGAGGCCGCGCGCAGCTCTTCGCGGCGGAGTCGTTCGGGTGTGTCGCGGCGCGGCGAGGAGGTGGAAGGGGACGCGCCCAATACGCGTGGGCGCGAGATCTGTCGCTTCGGGGTGCGGGGGAACGGGAACGGCATGGTATCTGATCGCAGGGCGTTGCAGGTCGCGGTGACGGTCTGCTTGAACCTCCGATGCGTGCAGGTTGCTTTATATCACTTCGCGGTCAGTGCGTCGGGAGCATCCGAGAGAGGAAGAGAACCCAATTAGGTCGCTTGTGGACAATGCGTCATCCTGAAAGAGGCCCCTTCGCATGAGGCACAATGGCAAACGAGGCTGAATCAATCGATCACTGTGCGTGGTCACGAGATCGCACGATGATCGGGGAATCGGATCGATGATGTATTGTCTTTTCGTCAGGATCCATGACTGTTTTTACCGTAATCAGGTGCATGGCCTTGCACTAAAAGGTTTACTGCAGTCTACGTTGTACAACAAATGCAATGCATTAATGAGGAATCAGTCCTCGATGTCAAACGAGCCATACGGCTGTACTTTGAAATACGACTCGTCAAAGTGGTGCACGCGGATGAAACCGTCTTCTCCTCCAGAGGCATACGATGTTCCCGCGGGATGGATGGCAATTCTGCGTGCGCGGTGAGTCGCCAAAAGGAGAACACACGACCGGTGCACGTACGTGTTGATGGGTCCAAAATGGCCCTTGACACGGCCCACCTCCTCCTCAAACACCTTGTGCCAGAATCTCGTCTCAAATTTACCCTGGCGCAGGGATGTCGTCGTAACATTCATTGCTTCCTGTCCACCGCCGAGAAGGACCTGCACCGTGCTTAGCGACCGAAATTCGTCCCACGACCATGGAGCTACTCACGTAAGGCCTTGTCGGTGCGATCGCGGCACTGTTTAGCGGAGTCTCGGTCGTGAACGTCTTGATCACCATCAGCGACTTGATGTCGTGTATCCGCGCAGACTTGTCCTTGCTGCTCGTGATGCAGTATGTTTGGTCCTTGCTGAACTGTAGATCTGTGACAACTTCGCTGTGCGCGCGCTCGTTGCTCTCGATCTCATCTCCGTTTTTGACGTTGAAGAGCGCCACTTTTCCGGATTCGTGGCCGGTGATGATGATGTTGGGGAGGAGGGTGAAGGCGCAGACAGTCGCTTTGCTGCCGATGGGGTTGAACATGTGTCGCGGTTCCAGTGGTTCTGAAAAGACGATTACGAGGCGCAAAACGCCCGGATTGTATATGACGTACGGCTGGTTCCATCTCCCTCCCGGTTAATATCGAACACGCGGATAGCGCACTGATATCCCATTCGCTGCTCTGTGATGCACACGACTTGTGTCCCATCAGCGTTGAACGCAACCCGCTTCACGGCCGTCGGAAACTCCCATTCAAACAGACATTTCCCAGTCTCGACATTCCACAGCCGCAGTTGATTGTCAGCGGACCCGGAAACCATGAACCTCGATTCGACTATCACAAGAGTTACCTCTCGATCAAGCAAGAAAAGTGAATTCGACGCACGATCCACATCCACTGTCCAGACAGTTCCGTTGTGGCCCTCGTACGTGCCTAGTCTCTCTCCATTGTGCGAGTACCAGACGTTGATGATATGGTCCTTGGAGCAGGAAAAGAGCAAGTCGCCCTCGGCGTTAAATTTTATCTGCGTCAGCGAACGCTCGTGTCCTGTTCGATCACGAGTTGATGGGTGGACGATTCGAGTTCACCAAGATGGACAGACCTTGCAGCAAGATGGGACGCTAAGCCGGGCATCAGCAGGGCAACGAATGTGTGAGTGAGGCCGACATACCATTTTGTGGAAGATGAGATCTAACAGATTGTATAATGCTGTGTACATGTTGATACCATCACGTCGCTAACAAATTTTGCCCCTCTCCCCGCACCGTGATTCTGATGCACTCGGTCCTACTGCTGGACGACGTACTTCGCCAGATTCTTGACCTATGTCCACTTCCGTCGCTCACGGCTGCTGCTAGATGCTGTCGGGCTTGGAATGATCCTGCGCTGGACGCTCTTTGGTGCTACGTCTGTTCGCTGGGGCCGTTGATCCAGCTCATTGATGGGGTAGCTCGTGTAGATGGTGTCTATGTGAGGAAAACTTTGACTCCTCACCTGTTCCGTATTGCCAACTATCTAACAGCGTGTTACGAGTGGGCAGCCCCTGAACCTCACCAGGTTCAACCTCTACGCCCGCCGCATAAAGCATATCGTCCAACGCCATGACATACGCCTTCACCCTGCCCTGCTGGCAGAGTTAGTAGAATCATCCTCGTGTACTCTCCCACGATTGGTTACAACGCGTTTATCCACTACGGACGCGCTATCGCTCCCTGCCGCGTTCAGCCTCACTCCTAGTCTTCTCCACCTGGATCTGGATTTCGGGTTCAAGAGAAAGTCCCGAGGATCGGCGGGCGAATCTTCCGACCACTTTCTAGTGGCGTTACCCAAGGCAGCCCCACATATCGCGCGCCTCCGTTTGCGCGGGAATCTTCCCCAACCCATAGACTTGGCTCGCATGAGCGATCTGACTAGTTTGACTCTGCGCGTAGGGACTAGCCTGAGTCCCGAGATACTCGAGTCGGTCTTCCTCCTTCCCCGGTTGCTCGAGCTGGACATGGACGCAGCACACTTGGACCCCGGTCGCACCCGGCAGTCGGGCCGGCTTCCACTTCGCTCGCTTGCTGTCCGGGCTTCCGCCGGTTTCCTTGAGGATTTCCTGCGCTTCGTATCGGAGGAACACATGAAACACATCCGCCTCGAGCTCACGGCACTATCGTCCTGGAGTGATATTTTTGACGCACTCGCTTTTCCGGCGCTAGAGGAGCTGACGATTGAACACGACTTGGAAGATGTCGACGCCGAATTACCGTCACCCGACTGCCCCAGGCAGCACCCCACACTCGACGCGATGCGACGCCTGGCATCTCTGCGACATCTTCGCCGCTTAGTCCTCGACTTCACCTACTTCCCGCTTCTGTCGGATACGGATATCGAAATGGCCGCTTCATGGTGGCCGAGATTGGTGCACTTGGATCTGGGCTGCGCGACCGATTGTGCGTCGAAGCGTATATCTGGTCCGCTGGCAACTCCGGCGTGCTTGCGCTCGTTTGCGCTGAAGATGACGGCCCTCGAGAGACTGGTTATGCCTCTCTGCTTCTCCGGCGGGGCACTTGAAGTGCCCGAGGCGTCCACCAATAGTAAGCTCGCGCAGGCGACCTTGACTTCGCCGCAGCCTCCAGCAGATCCTCAAGCTCTCGGCGACTACTTGAGACGTCTGTTCCCCTCCCTCGAGCAAGTTGATGGATTTGACGAGCAAGAGAATTCGTGGAAGTTGCTTGCTGCCCTGCTGTGATGTCTCGTAGATTTAGATTTTACAGACCATAGATAGACGACCATAGACTAATTAGAGTAACATAATCCAGTTGTTCGTGACGTCTATCTCAACAGCGTCGTAGACACATACGACCTCTGCCCAGCGCTGATGTCGACCATCCTGTACCCCAGCACACCCTCGACAAAAGCATAGACCAGCACCGGATTCAACGGCCCACCAGAAGATTGCCTGCCGAACGTCATCGGGCGCTCAATTACAAGCGTATCCATGACTCCGAAACAGAACTCCGACTCGCGCAATTCCGCTTTCAGGATCGGTCTCTGTGCAGGCAGTCAGCGCCGGCTCACACACGGTGCAAGAAGCGAGCTCGCTCACCTTGGTGCTGTCGTTCGGATTGGACTTGCCCCACTTGCTCAGATACGACGCGAGCAGCTCCAGGCTCGGCTCGTGGCTGCCCTGCACGACAATGGAGCCGTTGCGCTCCTCGACGATGAGGTTGTGCGGGCTCGCGGTAGCGAACAGCTCACGCGGCCGGGCCAGCGCATCGACCACAGGCAGACGCGAGACGGACGCGGCGGGCTGGACGGTGTATGCCGCCGGGACAGATCCTCCGTGTACAGCTCCAGCGGGCGTTGGAACCGCCTCAGCAGGGACGGTCTTTCCCACTACGACCTCGGCCCATTCCTCGTCCTTGGGTGCGTCTGCGTTCAGCAGATTCTCAAAGTCGCGATCAAAGCCTGAGTCGAGGCTGGAATGGGACGAAGACTGGGCGGTGGTGGTGGTCGGAAAGTAGAGGAGGAATGCGGAGAGGTTTGGTTCCCACCGGGTCGTCGGCCGGTTCATGCCTTTCTCCCCGGGCTGGATGCGCAGGGCGAGCTGCGTGTGCTCCGAGAGGATGTTCAGAAGAGACTCAGTCCAGTCCGCGTACACATCGTTGTCGAGGCGGTCGCTGAGCCGTTCGTACCATGCGATGGCGTACCGGACCACGGTCGGGACGAAGGTCGTGTTGTCGTCGGAATAGCGCTCCTTGACACTCGTCCAGAGGATGGGCCAGTCAATCTGGGGTGTGATCGTGTGGCCGAGGACCTTGGTAAGAGCTGCGACAGATCCGTTGACGGATGATTTAGAGCTATCCCACTGGTCGCGAATGTCGACGCGGACTTTGAGGGGACTGAGTAAAAGTGTTCAGTATCGTTCCTAGCATTCAACAATATGCGCACAGTTCTCTAGACATTGAGAGGAGGGAGGTTATTGGCAGTCATAGTCCCTAGATATGGATCGCTTTATTGGATGAATGGACTGTTCTCCTGATTGTTGGAGGTGTGACTGACGCGCACTGCCGGCCCTTCAGTCAACGTCTCCTGTCGGGAGGACAGCAGGCGCTTGCATCCAGACGTAGAATTGACTGGCGCTCGAGGTCATTGTGAGTAATCTCACTCGTGTCTCTGACATCTGAGTTTCACGTTCTGAAGGAGGATGCCAACGCACTTTCGGATCACGTGTGCGCGTTGCAGCAGACTTCGAAAGCCATCAACATCCGGCGCGTACGGCCCGGCAACTCTCCAGTCTTGTCGTCTCGTTCAGTTCGACCAATAGACCATCCATTTCAATTTGGTGTCATAATCTACAGCTCGTGTCCCTAGACACTACAGAATCATAAACGTTCCCTCAATTGCGGTCCCTCCTGACCAAGACTCTTGACTTTGACCTGCCAAACGGGTCCTAAACATCTCGACGTGGACATGGACGTCCTGTCGCGCCCGGACTGATATTCGATTGATCAGTTGATCAGTCGAAAGGAGGCTCTGTGCCTAAGCGAGTGCGTATTAAAGACTTGCTGAATTTCTAGGCAAGAGCAGCAACGACCGACGCCTCTACCAACCCTCTACAGCACTTCTACAGCACGATGCCCAAGACTCCCGCCTGGTCGCCCAAGCCTGCCATCGAGAAGCTCCCGCTCGCCGTTCGCAAAGATAGTGCGTCCCCACATCCGATCACCTACCGTATGCGGGGTAATCTTATCACTATTATCAGTCCGAGATAACTTTGATTCGAAGAAGGAGGCGCTGCAAGAGCGCATCAAGACGGCGCTTGGGTCCGAGTATACCATCAGCGTGAAGCCAGGCGAGGTGTGGGCCTATGCTGAGGACGGCAACACGTCCGCGGGCAGCTGCTTCAATGGGTATGTCTGAGGCTCGTGGGTTGGCGAGTTGGCCTAGCGCCTAATCATCGCGTTCCAGCTACTTCGAGGGCTTTGTTACGGGACTGGAGAGCTTCCTCAAGACTTATGGCGACAACGGGAAGCAATATTTCAACGATGCCGTCAAACAGTCTGAGATCACCCTTGAGGTGCGTTGTATAATTGATTCTAATAGTGTCCATACCAAACCTTTGTTAGGTGAACCCCAACGGTGACAAGGGCGAGACCGTCAGCGCCGATGTCAAGGATGGTGTCTACCGCATTCTCTTCCGCCACGACCGTCTCGGCTACAACCAAAAGTACGTTGTTGCCCTTGCGCACGCCGACACACTATGTGTACTGACATCCCATCCGCAGCTGGCAAGAAAGCACGATCCTCCCCGCAGTCGAGGGCGTCGAAACCGCGGGCTTCTCTCTGTCGGCCAAACACTCGATCGACGACAAGTACGACGAGGAGATCGACGAGTGCAAGGAGGCCATCAACAAGATCCTCGGAGCCGAGTTTACACTGGACCCCAACTTCGAGGAGGTCTACAAGGCCCTCTCCACGGGGATCACTGACTCCAAGGACTGGGAGTCTGGTTTCGGCGGGATTGTGCTCCGCTACTTCCAGGGTCTGCAGTACCAGCTTGAGCGCCAGGGTGCGTCCCATCTGCCGCCATCCTAGGAGCCAACTGATCGTAATACGTTTCTCCAGGCTTCAAGGACGACGATATGCTCCAGGAGGGTCTCCAGGAGACCGTCGAATCCAAGACGTTCCGTGTCCGCGTCCTACCGAAAACCAACAGCACGACCGAGACCGTGATTGAGGACGGGGTCGTGTACCTCCAGACTCGGCCCGATCGCTGGGGATATAACACCAACGACATGGGAGAGGGGCTCGTCAACTTGCTCTAGTACAAAGCTATAATTTGTACATACCACTTGAAACCGATGACCTGTGAAATCCCATACGTTTGGCCCGAACGTATCTTGTCCTGACCCACAATTCATGCGCTTTGCGCAGGGCATCCCAGTAAAATCGGTGAGTGTGCATGTGCATATACAGTGGTGTATGCATCGACTGCTCTTTTGAAGTGCATCATTCGAAGCCTAAGCCTGATCCTACGGGTTTGTATACTTGGAATACCTACAATCTCAGTGCTTAAATTATCCACTATCGTTATATATGCCGTAAAACAAGATGTCTTCACAGCAGGTCAACGAGCCCCCGCTTGCCAGATATCATGGCTACAACTTTGCTTTCGAAGCTGAACAAATCCCCGCCCTTCGTCGCGGCAAACTCGGTGCTCCCGTTTGCCGACGCAGACACTCCCAGCAGCTTCTCGAGATTCGTCGAAACCATGGCCAGCGCAGCTTCCTTGGAGACCGCGCCCTCGGATTCAAGCGAGACCTGCAGCAACCCACATCAGCGCGATGACACTTCGAGATAAGAGATCTGCGCACCCATCCAGCATCGAAACGCAGATTGTGAGCGGCCCAGCCCGTCATCGGAGCCATGCCCTCGAGGCCCTGGGGAGCGAGTCCGACGATGACTCCGTGTCTGTGCAAATACGCCGCAGAGCTCTCGGCGGATAACGGCGGCCCGGGGAGGAGCCGGCGTTTTTCCCACGTGTGAGGGAAGCTGCGGGCTGGAGCTAGCACCACCCCGACGTCGGCTGCTGCGATCTCCTTGGCGAGCAAGTGCGCCTCTGATCCTCCGAAGAGCGTGAGGTTGATGGGGTTGCCGTGTTTGTGTTCCACCTGGCGTTTCAGGGCGAGCAGGCTTGCAATGATGTCTGCGCTGTTGACGTCGACGACCAGGGGTATAGTTCCCTGCATAGGCAGTGTTAAACGCATGATCAGTGAGAACAACACCCCATGGGCGTACCTCGACGACTTGCTTGAGTCCATAGCTCTTGGGAGGGTCCAACAACAGCCGCCTCAGAGTCGCAATTTGGGTGCTGACCGAAGCCTCGTCCGAGTTGCCCATCGTCACAGAAACATGCAGCGCCGCGATCTCCTGCACAACCGCGCCTTTCTCCAGCTTATGCCGCGCAGCAAGCGAGAACGACGTGCTGAGTCCGTACATGAACTTGTAGCCCTTGGGTGCCTCGATAGCCGTAGCGACGCCTTCGCGGTATGCCAAACTGACGAAAATATCAGTCAAAATCGGCAGGCAACAGAGCCCTACCACTCACAGCGCATTGCGAGACCCAAACTGCAGTCCATCGTATGCCTGTATGAGCGTGTCTTCTCCCAAGATAGCAGGGACGTGACCCATGAGCGGATCAAAGACGGCCCCGTCGCCTGTCGAGTCCTCGCTCCACATCTCCTCTAAGCCCATGATCGTGCCAACAGAGACCATCGCAGGGCTGATGCTCCCGCCTTCCAAATCAACAATGCGCGCGCCGCGAGAGTCGAGTGCCGATGCGCCCGATACAGCCACAATCACGCCTTCCTTAACGAGCACGTCGCCCGGAGCCGCGAAGGAGGCGAACCCGTCCACAAGCAGACTCGAGACGTTCCGGAACAGAATCGACTCCGGGGTACGGACCTCCGGCTCAAGGGGAGGCAGGCCCTCGTATTTGATCGCGTCCGCCCTCTCTTGGTCGAAGTTGGGTGTTTTCGGAGCATGCTGAGATGACGCGGGCTTCTTGACCGAGAACGGCTTGGACAGCTGCGGGATGCCGTCAACATAGACCTGAGTTGGAGCTGCCCCCAGTGCAAGGGGGTGCGAATCCCAGACAACGACATCGGCATCATAGCCTGGACCGAGATAAGATAAGATGAGTTGGGAGATGCAAATTGTACCTACCAAGTTTGATTGATCCCACGCGATGGGACAGTCCAATCAGCTCGGCAGGCGTCGTAGTCACTGATGCCAATGCAAGGCCAGTGCTCAGCCCTGCGTAATGAGCAAGTTGAGCCTCATGCAAGAGAAACCTCGACACGATGGCGGGATGATCGCTCTGGTCAACTTGTCCATCAAACCACGAAACGATCACATGACCGTCGCATACCTTCATGGCAACCTTGAGACCGTTGTCTGCGAGGATCCGAGCTGCATAAGTCGAGTGCCGGTATGCCTCGCGCTTGTACCGCGAGAAGCTCGAGAAAATAGCAGAACCAGGCGCGTGGTCGTATGCTTTCTTGAGGAGGTCAGGGACCAGATACGTTTCTGGCATAACCGTTGAGTATCGAGACAAGCTATGTCAACGAACACTCTTTACCGTGAGCATGATGGAAGGCCGAGACGGGGAACTGGAACTCCTGGGTCAAGCGCACAAAGTAGTCGATGTCCACGGCTTCGTAGCAGTGGGTTTGGACCTATACGTTCGTCAAGGAAAACGCCTCCTCGCAGTTCAGCCTGCAGACAAACCTTGAATCTTCCGCGCAGGATGTCAACCAAAGCCTCCAAAGACAACTCTTCGGGAAAGTTGCCAAGACCTTCCCATTCGCCAGCCAGAGCGCGTTCACAGAATCCATCTTGCGCGTTCTTGATTTGTCGAGCTTGGTCGTATCTAATCTGCATTCAGTCATCGTGACTTACAAAATTCCTAGGCACCCACATTTGTCTGACGGCCCACACGGTGTCCATCCGAACACCATTGTAAAAATTGGCTAGCTCTATGTCAGCTCATGTCTTTGGTATCGAAATGACTTACATGGATTTTCACCACATGCGTGTCTAGCAAGCGAAATGAGATCCTGCGGATATACAACGAACAAACACTCCTCACTTCATGTGCCTCCAGCGCAAAGGCGCTTCGTAGTCAATGGCAGAGCCATTCAACGTCAAAGGAGAGTCGACCAGCATGGCTGAGCTGGACCGCTCCTTGGTAGGTCGCAATTTGATCGTGAAGCCTTGACCGCCTACTCTCTCCGTCAGCCATCGCATACAGACGCGCACAGCATCCCAACGACGAACCGATTCCATTCGCAGACCCAGGAAGCACCAAACTAGTGGTCACGCCGCCCGACATCGAGTTGAGGAAACTCTCGTCGTGAGTGTTCAGCGCGTCGACCGCACGCAGGAAGGGCAGAACCAGACCCCGGTTCGAATTGCCGTCTTCGGCACCGCTGAGTGCCGGCGCAGGCCCGATCGACAAGTGGGCGTGCATGTCGACAATTCTACGTCAGAGGGGTCAGAAACTTTGGGAGGATGCATCCGCGCGCGCGACTCAAGACTTACCCAGGTGTGACCCAGGCACCCGCAGCGTCCAACACGTCGTATTCGCTCGCCACCAGAAGCGCCTCCGGAACATCTCCGACACTGACGATGACGCCCCCGTCCATGAGCATATCTCCGCGCACCACCTCAAGCCCGTCGGCGCGTCCCGTCCAGATCGTCGCGTTCCTCAGCAAGACCGGACGCGTCCCGGGCTCAAACCGGTCCGACTGTCTGCGCGCGTAGTACTCGGGCCCCGGAGGCACCGGCTTCGCATGGAGCGTGCGGCATCGCGCGAGGATGGTGTCAGCATTGGTCGGGAGGCGCGCTAGATGTGGTCTGGTGGGGATAGACCGGAGGTTGAGCAGCGCCAGGTGGGTGAATGCGAACAGCGCGGCTGCAACGACCGCCACGAGTCTCTTAGAGACGGAGCGAGCTTTTTGGGTGGGGACTGCTGCAGGGAACGTCGCGGCTTCGAGGTCGAGCTTAGTGGCTGCGACGAATGGGGCCTTCTCATCCTGCACCATTGAAGTGACCGGTGGTGAAAGCGCAGAGGAGTCTCGATGAGTAGCAGGCGCAGGAGCAGCGCGGGCCACCAGTCGGTACTTGTCGCCCATTGCACCCCTTTACGCTTCGACTTTGCGATGAAAGTTTTAAGCAACGCTCTAATCTTCTCCACATGGCGGCTCGGACTCCGGACTGCGGCGGTGGTCCGGTGGCTGTTACTGCGCATCAGATTTTGCCTCGGCGAACACTCGCTTAGCAGCATCTCATCTTATCTCGTGTCCAAGAATTAGAATTCGTTTATATGTATACAAAAGTCCGCATCAAATCAAGAAGACGTAAACGTCGTCAATAAAAACGTATGCAGGTGCGCTTCCACCCTGGAGCACGAGCTTGTCTTGGCCGCCGCCAAGAGCGGTGACAGAAAACGCGTGATACTTCCAGTCGCTGTAACCCGCCGTGACATTCCCGACCATCACTCCGTTCCAGATGACTTGCAGCAGCGAGTTGGCCTCCAGTTCCATACCGCTGTACATGCTGGAGCTGAACAGCTGCACCTCGTATGTCTTGTCTTTGGTAAGCGCGGAGAACGACGAGGTCGGGACGAGCATCCCCGTGTGGTTGTCGGTGCCAAATGCGCAGCCCAAGAGCGCGCAACCAGTGCCCATGTGTGCGTACGGTGCGTAGTGGAAGATGGTAGCATCCAACGACCCTCCGGTGGTAGACAGGCCTTTCCACCCTGCCGCTTGCTCAGTGAAGCAGAACACACCGCCGTCAGAGCAAGTGTACGACTCGAACGTCCCGTCAGAAATGTGCGAAATCCGTCGGTATCCCCGGGACATGGTCACTTTGAGATCGCCCTGCCCGGTGTTGGTTGCAGTCGATGCGTTCGTCGGCTCGTAATACTGAGTTTGTGTGAATTGTCAATTGCAGGACTCGAGGAGCAGTTCACGCACCATAGAACAAGTGTAAGTCTTCGGAGTGTCATTGACCATGGCACGCCAGATGTTGAAAAACTTGCACGCGCCACCTTTGTCGTCCGCTTGGCGCTGGTTGCACATCTGCGCACACGCCGAGGGATCATATCTGTCGAGGAAGGCGAAACCCATGTACTGCCAACACAGTCAGCATCAGACGAAAAAGGACCTGAGTCGAACACAGACTGCTGGTGCGTTGTTTGCAGCGGAAATAGGTCCGAACACGAGCTCATAGCCAGCAGGTACGGAAGGCTCCATGGCAGCGCGAGAGGCAAAACCACTGCTGTGGATGATTTTCGTAGGCGGAGATGGCGGAGGCGCAAGCTGTTGCCCGCCGAAATTAGTCTTCTCGGAGGCGCCGTGGACCTCGCCTATCTCATCTTCAGCAAGTGCCGCTATCCGATCACAAAAAACCGACACACCATACAGAACACATTTGAGATTAGACTTTTCGGTAAACACGTAATCCAGGAGCGGATTGTACATCTCAGTGTAAATGTTGAAGAAGACTGTGCAGACATGAGCTGTGAGCTGAACGACAGAAACGGGACCTACCGCAACCCGGTGTGGAATCACAGAACGCAGCACACTCAGGCATGCCGTGGTCGATGTAACTGTCATTCGACACCAACTTGTAGGTCAGGTATGCCGTACCCACGATGGCGGCATCCTCGGCGATGTTCTCAGCCTTGGCGCTGGAATTGCCATCGGGACGGCCATCAAAAAGTATCACGTAATTGTCCAGTCCCCCGTTGCCAGTGGCCGCGACATCCACCGGGTCAGATGCGATGTAGCTCACAAACAGCGTCCCATCGTATGCCGTCAACTTGGTCGGCGCTTGAGCCAAGTCGGGCGGTGTACTGTCGGAGGGTGCGCCGGTCTTTTGGCTCACGACTCCGGCGGTGTTGGCGATCAGGTCTGCATCGGTAAAATTGCTGGGGACGTCCGGAGGGTTCAGCGGTGTGCTTGTGTCGTTAGCGCCTTGCAGAGCCGGAGCGAGCGTGTAATCGGCTGTGGATGCGTCGTCAACGAGGTTTCACTGGCACTGAGATGCCCTGGGACGGACCCGTCGCGTGCAGAAGCAGCCCAGCAAGAAAGAGGAGGGACTTGGGGGAGGGGAACATTTTCGTGGAATCGTGCTGCTCCGTAGTTTTGCGGCAGCCATTTATACTTGAAGCTTGCACTCCTTCGAAAAGCTCTGGGCGAAGCGCGAGAAGGAAGGAACCATACCAAATAGGGACGTTTTGACTCATTACCGCCTCCAATCAAAAGCAGCATTGCTACGACATTTTCGGACGCCAGCTCTCGGGGGCTTGCGAGCCTAGTCAGAGATTTGCAGTTGCAATCAGTGGAGCAGAATCTGATAGTCGGAAATGTTGATTGTTCGGGGAGGACACAGTAGCCACGGACGCGAAAAGTGCCAGAGCATAGCGGACAGCAGAGGAAGCCTAGGAAGCGGACAACAGACTGTGCACCGAGCTTCGAACCAAACGTGATAATGAGCCAATTCAGGGAGTAGTTAGTACATGCCATTGACAGTGTGCTGCCTTGTCCCTTGCACTGCCCTCGGGCCTTGGGCCTGAACCACGAATTGAAGGCAGTGGATGTGCATCCCATAATAGTACAAAAGAATACAGAGACTCGGGTGTTTGGGCTTATCGTCCGGAATAACTCCGCTCAGAACGGAGGAAAAGATTTGACCTTCGAGAACCAGAATGGTCGCTGGTGGCGCGAGCCGACGGGCGACATATTCCCCGTTTGCAGATCAACGGAGTCGTAAGTGGTGAGCTCCAGCTTGTTCCATCTGCCCACGGGCTTGGAGCCGAGACTCAGGCCCATCCTGAACGTGTATCGGGCAAAGGAATCGGCCCCTGCAGCCGTCACCGCAGGCGGAATCGGAAATCTGCCGCTGGCGTCGACCAGATTCGATATAGTAACTACCGAGTCCGATAGCTTCCACGTGCCGATGAAAAGACCCTGGATCTCGGTCAGGCAGTTCTCCAGGAGGCAGATTGCATACCTTCTTGCGGAGTGAAGGCTTGAGAGAGTGCACAACTTCGGCAGGAGGTGTCTCTTCATTAGCGAGCAAAGATAAAACTTTGCCATCAGGGAAAAATCGCCTAGTCGCAGCACAGTCCAGTGTTAGATGACAACTATTCCAGAGCAACCAACGCACAAATAACGGTGGTACGTGACCAGATGGTTGATCTGCACGACTATGCAGCTTCAGAGACAACATAGATGATACTTTGGACCTACATTGACCCAAGAATTCTCATTAAGACCCTGCCGTCTGATCGGCACATTCAGCTGGGCAAGGCGCAGAGCGGGAGAACGCCCACATGTAGTGGCATACGGCGATATAGACACCGTCCAGCCGAATTCGCGGGTGCTCGATGTAGATGCGCCTAAAATCCGATTCATAACGGGTGATGATAGCCGGCACAACGTCCACCCCGGTAACTTGAGGGGGTTTCAACAATGGCAGTACTAGATCTCTGTGATAGGACGGGTTAGAAAATGAACCTACCAAACACGATGACTGACCTCCATATCCCCGGGTCCAGAGTGAGCAGGCGTGCCTTGCGACTGACAGCCGCAAAGCGCTCAACGGTGGTGTGGTCCATTCGCCGGAGGATAGAAACGATCAACTCCTCAGGGACGCAGTTGAAATGAACAGGTTCTTCCTCCTCCTCTGGATCGAATCTTACGTCCTCAGGGAATTGCTGAATGATGCTAGCAATGGTTCCGGTAATTGTGTCCCCGGACTTGACGATAGCCAGGCTTTGCAGCTGTACGGCCACCTGGTCAACATCTTTCTCTGCCTCTGAAGTAGCAACCACATCGGGAGAAGTTGTTTGAGCGACATGGTGCGCGGCCAGCATCTCTTGCGTCTGGTATGCCCGATCGACATTTGGCTCCATCCGAAAAGCCTGGCGATACAGAAGCAGGGCTTCATCAAGCTCCCCGCGCTGCTCGTAGTCGACTGCGCGCTTGTAAACGGCAAGTGCGCGGAGAACTACGGCCGGAACCGCATCCTTGTTGAAGAGTCCAGAAGGCGTAGTAGCGGTGTGGAGCGTCCCAGTCACCACCTCGCTAGACGCACCGAGTTGCGGTGTAGCCGTCCCAGAGCTGTTGTCTTCTGGCAGCTCCTGCCAGTCGCCAACATCTCCGTACGACGGTGCGTGAACGATTCGTATCTTCCTGGAGGAACTTGCATCGGCATTGATGGCCTCCGTTCGCTCCCGAACCTCTCGCCGCCATTCCTCTCGGAATCGTGCGAGTTCCTGCTGGTTCGGGTACCGGTTTCCTGGTGACTCGGTAGACATATTGCCTGCCACACTGGATCGGTACGGTGGACCGTGTGATGACGTTGGGGTCAAAGGCGAGTAGTGTTTAATCCCTGGCTCGTGACTTGAAAGTGATGCCGACGGAGAGCGACGGCCAACTGTCGACGTGGGGAAGAAGAGAGAGAGTTAGAGCGCCCGAGACCCACTTCACTGAATGACTAAGCCCAAATTAGGAAGCGTATCCCCTATGATGGCTTACTTCGATCCACTACCGACAAAGTTACTTACATACAGTGACAACTGCATACGGTCACGGACATTCTCCTTCGTTGCTCGGAGGTTCTGCACCCTGTTCCTTCAATTTTTCTAGCTTCCGTTTTTGCTCGTTGCGAAGATCGGGAGCGATGTTTACATTCCAATGGGTTTGGGCAATCGCCCGGTAGAGCTCCACGGCAGGTTGATCGTACATGCTGCAATTTGGATAGTTGCCTCTTTCGATGGAAAGCCGTTCGGGGGGGAATTTGCCAACGAGGGGACTCTTTTCGAAACGCGCAGTTTCTATTGTGGACGTCGGCGACGCCCGTAACGCGAACACTATGGAGAAGCGGTATTTATCTTCCGGACGAGACGGTGGCAGCACTGAAACTCGATGGGAACCGGCTGAATACAATCCTCGGGTGAGATACGTGAGTGTTTGGCCAGTGAGAAGCGTGGCAGTCAACTTCGGCGCGCGCGGGCCTTTCGGCACGTCCTCCACACTGATCCATTGACCCGTAACGAGATCGAGGGCATCCAGACCAGGGGACTCTCCGATCACGAGTGTCAGAATGCCCAAATCTTTATGAGCTTCGGCCACAATCTTCTTCCCTCCCTCCACAGGGCGATTGTAGCGAAACAATCGCAACAAGCTCGACGAGCGGGTGGTTTCCGGGAAGTTGTTTGCTTCAGAGGACATGTCGTCAAAGATCTTGCGGTCCTCAAGCTCCAGACTGTCCGCAATATTCTGCACCGTATGGATGAACAGCTCTCCTGTTGCGTTCCATGCATCGGCTGCTACATCGCGTAAAGGAGGTGGCATTCCCGAGATTCGGCGCATGGTGATCAACTGTTTCTCTTCTGGTATGTCATAGAAACCTTCCTCGGACGCGGCCCTTCCTGTGGGCGCGGCAAACTTAGTTTTGGAGCTAGAATCGGACGGTAGATCGAAGTATTCAGAAGAATGCCTGAAGAGAGATGCATATAGCTCTTCAAACTCAGGAGGCAGCGGGATGCGGATCCAGCCATGAGTTGCCAAAACAGCGAGGTTGCTTCGAATGTAAACTCCGAGCTCTGTGCCATCCCGACAAGATGGCTCGAATGTTGGAGCATCGTGGGTCCCAAGAGACGGCGAAGAAGGCGGCGGAAGAGCATACTCGAAAGTAGGTGGAGGGCCAGGAGGAGGTGCGTACACCGTGGTCATGGTGGAGAGCAAGGCGCGGGAACACAGCCAACAGGGCAGTGCGGTACCAAATAAGACGAATCTGATGTTACACGAGCAGATATAAACACAATTTATTTGGCTTTGCGGCCATTCTTCTTCTTCCAGGATGCAACGAAAACCCGAGCCCATCTACATACCGATCTACAGAGGAACATATGGGAGGGGCGGAGGAAAGCACCATGGCGAGCGGTGAGAGCACAAGGAGCGACGGGCCAGGATTACTCTGGATATTACGGTACGCGTGGGTAGAGATATGGATGGGAGTGCAGTTCGTGTCCATGCGCGAGAGAATGTGAGTTGCTTGAACATAACGGACCCAGTGTGATATATGAACAGGATTGCATTAGGCTGCGCTGTACAAAAACAAGTTGTTTGTCGCAGCGATCTAAAGAGTGTGAGCAATGATGAAGGAGAGAACCAATAAACTCACGGCAATCGTGTTTTCCCTCGGGTGCCAACTTGCATGTAGGATTTTCTTATTGAAATCCAGTGTCTCCAGCTGCATCTGATCCCTCAACCCATTTTGCTTCAGACCATTCTTCGGCCCACCCTTGTTGCCCGGCAACGGCCCACCAATCTTCTTCGCCTTGAAGGCAGATTTATCTGCCTGAAGAACGACATCGTTGACCGTGTCAGTGTCGTATATCCGGAAATAATTGTGGTAGGAGCCAGTGAGCACATGTCTGTACAAAGCGTATGAAGAATCACATGTTGGATGGTCACAGTGCCACTCACTTGTCGTCACCACCCCAAAGACACTCAAACTTGTCAAAGATGCAATCGTTCTCGTACAAGTCACAAAGTTTCCCGCGCAGATGGTCATGGATTGGAATGGTCTTCACCGGCCGCGAGTCCATGTTGACATCCCAGATCTTCAGCGACAGATAGTCTCGTGCAAGAATGTATCGTCCGTCGTGGCTGAACTTGACGTCTGAGATGGACGAAATAATTTCGGAGAAGAAAGAACGAGTGGATGGATCCTCCTCTTCCTCGAAGCCTGTGGAAATGAGCTGAGGAAACTACACAGGAGGACACGCACATTTGGTATGTCTGTCGCATAACGCCGACTGTCGCATGTCGCCCAGCTTGATATTGCTTTTTGAACTTGAGTACATGAACAGGTTGCAGTGCAACGGGTGAAACTCCGCAGCAGTGATGACCTCTGTCAGCTCCTCCATGTTGACCGGTTTGATGTCCACAATGTCTAGCCTGAATAAGTATGGATGGAGACACACTTGTGATATCACGCACTGAAGCTTTGGTCACTGATGTTCAGGTTCCAAAGATTCACTCGCAGATCGTCAGCTGAGATGTAGGTCTCTTGGTCCGAGTTGACGGATATCGAATGAATATGGTACGCATGGGCGTTGGAGTATACTTTCCGCGGCACTGCGGCAATTATGTTGTCTTGTTGAGACATACGAGGCAGTCGCAGATGTGACGGAGCGGTGGGTGGGGGCAGAGGGCGGGTGCCATCGTGGTGGTTGGACTCGGACACTACTCGCAAGGATTTCTCGAACACCTTCCATAACTTGATGGTCTTGTCTACACAAAGATTAGACTTGTAGAAGCGACACGGACTGCGAACGGACCGTTGGTCGATAACAGGAAATGGGCCGAGTTTTGGCGTTTGCACCACTTGATCTTATTGATCTTCTCCTCGATCTCCAGCGACTTGAGATAGTCAAACTCCGGCTCGTGTGATTGGAACTCGGTGTAGAACTTGTATTCGCATCCCTTTTTCTGACGAAGCGTTGGTCATCCGCCCAATACGGAAATCGACGATGTACACACCGATTCGTTTCGTTCAAACAGCACCACACGACCTCCTTTGTCTCCGGTGGCGAGATAGTTCCCGGTTGAGTCGAACTCCACCGTCGAAATGATGTCGGCTGAGGAGCAGAAAGACCATGAGATAATACTTCACAAGGCGGGTGGAGACGCATGAACCTTCCGTTATATCCTCCACCTCGCCTTTATCACCGAAGCATTGCGCAAACCGCCATCCTCCTGAGCCTGAAGGATCGTCCATGATGAGTTATCGAAGGTGTCGCCTGTGCGGTATCGCCTGAGTAAGTGGATGGATAATGTGCAAGGGGAAGTGGTCGTGTTTGGCCCTGCTTTCGCTGATTGTTCCGTGACGAAACTCTCTCAATCCGACCACCACCATGGCTGTCGCACCCATCACTGGAATGCTCCGAAAGAGATTTTGGCTTGATATCACTACTGGGCTTGGGCTCGGGCTCTCTGGAGGAGCTGCTTGGTGGTAAGTCAGCTGGATGTATTACTCATCAAGTACTAACGCACTCACAGGTACGGTTATGTCCTGAAGTCGAGTGAGATATTGTATCCTCATGTGTCCGGTTATCCTCTGAACTCATTGTCTCTCTCAGAAGCTCACCAGGAAGCATTCTACCTCAAGCTAGAGAAGGAGAAGGTCGCTGCAGCGCAGGCGTGAGGACTCGGGACGGAGGTCTAGATGCGGCTAGAGTCGGAATGGTCGAAAACATTCCATTGCTTTACGAGTCAGCAATTGAATCAAATACATCCAGCACCAGAAATAAGTTATGGCTAGTCTGCCAGAAGCTATCGTAGCAGACCCAACTTTTTCAGTTCCTCACAACTGGGCACAACCTCGTTCTCGATCTTCTTGACCTTGTCCCAGTCCGTACCAAGGCCGAACACGCCTACTTCTGCATCCTTGGCACGCTGCTTGCGGTCATGACCAGCCTGGCACTCGGCGTACAAACGTTGAGTGTATGTGTGGTCCACACTGGCCTCGAACTTTTTCAGAGCAGGTCCAGGCTGTGTCGGGTGATCATCAGCCACGAACTTGGTCGCGGAAAGTTTCCTCCAGTCGATATTCTCCCGAGAAAGTTCAGCCCCGATCACTGGATGCCTCATTATTTCGTTAGGATCAAAGTGATATTTCACTCCGAGTCCTGCGGTGTGTCGTTCGCCAGTGTATCGTGAGGTTCGTGAGAATGCAAAGTATGGGTCTGGAACCGGAGGCGTCGTGAAAAGATTGGGCAACGATGAAAGCAGGGAGAAGGCGAAGAGCAGGATCAGAGGCAGGAGCTGCAGTAGAACAGAACGCGGTTCAGCGTTGCCTTGTTGTGCGCCAGTACCGGCTGCTCGTCCAGCGCCAGCTCCATGACCTCCCATGCGAGTGAAGCCACCAGGTCCGAATGTGAAAACTGACTAGGTATGAGCACGACATGAGCCCGAGCTCTTCCGAACGTACCGGTCGGACCGCCACCAAAGCCGCCTCCAAAGCCGTTTCCGAAACCAGCTTGGCCACCACCGCCGCCAAAGAACATGTTAAAGAGGTCTTCAGGACTGATTTCGCCGTCGAAACCGCCTCCTCCACCGTTGAACGATTGATAAGAGGATCCTCTCGAAGACATGCCAGCCGAACGGTCCTCTGGGTCTGATCCACTGCGGTCATATATACCTCGCTTCTGAGGATCTAGGAAGGTTTAGAGGACCGTCAAGGTACTATTTTTGAGCCGACGCACCTGAAAGAACTTGAAAAGCTTTTGATACAACTGGAAACACATGGGTCAATGTGATGGGAAACAATTCCAACTATTCACGAACGCTTGAACGCTTCATCCGCTCCTGGCGCCCCATTCTTGTCTGGATGAAGAGCAAGAGCCAGCTAGGTGTCAAATATTTACAACACAGAAATACCACTGGGTGATGCAACTTACTTTTCGATAAGCCTTCTTGATTTCGACTTCCTCGCATTCTCGCTTCACGGACAAGATCTCATAATACTCGGTGATCTTGCACGCCCGTACCCGTCGCACGATATCTAGCTGTTCTGGAGTGAAGTCCCTCTTCTGACCACCGAGCCCACCGGCAGTCCCTGAGCTACTACTGCTTGTTGTGGCTCCATTAGCGTGCCTGTTTTTGGCTCCAGCAGCAGAAGGATGGGTCTCCGTAGAAGTGGATGCTCCGTCAGACGACTCGCTCGCGGCTGCAGCATTGATAGCGGCCAAAAGTCGCACAGCTTCTGGGGTTTCGAAAAGTGCAATCGACTTTTGCGCCAACTTGCGGGCGCTGGGGTAGTTGGAAGCCGAGAAGTGCTTTTGTGCAATAGCCAGAGCACGGTTCGCTTCCTCGCGATTGCTCTCCATGAGTGGGTGTGAGGTTCACTAGCGATCAAAACCTGCAAAGCGAGCGAGAGAGCCGTAAGCCGGGGCAGAGGCTATGAAGGTAGCAGGCTTTGCGGAGGATGGAGAGTGTTCGCAGGACGTGGAACCTGCCGGCGTGCCGTGTTTGTACAATTTCCCAAATTAGGTTTCCTGATCATAGTTATCACCGCTCAAAGCATAAGCAGTCTCAGACACGCGCTTAAAGTCTTCAGCTTGCCATGAGGCCACTTGAGTCAGCGGTATTTGATATTTTGACGCTTACTTGACCGTCTGCTCGAGGGATGCGCGTGTCATGTTCGTATGATCAGGTGGAATCAAGTTATTACTATGATAATGAATGATGCTGACAGCAGTCAGGCGCATCGAGTTTTCCAAAACTTGGAACATCAAGTGTTGCATTACCACCCATGCCGCATCCCCATGGCCGCTGTCCTACGAAGACCTGAGCAAGAGCTACAGCAAGGCGGCTGTGCAACTCGGTCTTGATCCGTCAACTTTGGTGAGCAATGACCCGATCAGGATAGCTCCTGTGACGTCGATTCTTCCGTCTTCCTCTTCAGCCAAGACTGGTTCTTTTGAAGTCCCACAGTCTTTACTCTGCACGCCGATACACTTTGCAATCGAAACACCGCATCGACTGCCGCCGATGAACAAGCTCCCCATTCCTACGGTCGCGACGCGTACTGACAGTGGCGGCTTTGCTACCCCCGAAGGGACAATATACGTGTCCAAACCATTCCGAACGAAGTCGTCCAAGAAGTTGCGAGCTCTCATCACTTTTTCCCCACGAGAGTCCGCCTTTGACATCAACAACAAAGCATCCGGGACAAATGAATTCCGGGTGCGTGCTCTGTACTTATCGGTATACATTTAGGCTCTTTCTCAATCTTGGCAGGGGTTCTTCACGCTCTTCTGGATATCGATGTTTCTGTTCACCGTCAGCACATACATTCGGAGTATAGAAACGAATGGGCATGCGCTGAACATGCAATTTGCAACTATGTTCTCTCGAGATGCCATTACTCTCGCGTTGAGTGACGCCGTCCTTGTCTTGTCGACGGGACTATCCGTTCCCTTCGCCTACGCCATCAGCAGAGGCTGGGTGCGCTACTACTGGACAGGTCTCATCATCCAACATGTTCTGCAAACGGCAGCACTCTTTGGTGCGATCAGCTGGACGCTAGATCGGGGTTGGCCATGGGTCCAATCGGGATTCTTCACCCTACATACATTGGTGTGTTTACTCTCAGCGAACTCGAATAAAACACTGCTGACTCTGTCTAGGTGATGATCATGAAGGTGCACTCCTATCTGACCGTCAATGGACACCTGCAGTGGGCGTCAGAGGTAGCTGAGCGTTTGCTGAAGGATATGCGGAAAGCCACGGGAGAAGCTGGGGGCTGGGACCAGGCTATCCACGATGCACTGCGCAATCGCGCTGAAATTGATGCTATTACTGCCCGAGGTATATCCGAATCGAGTTCGCCGCTCGCTACGCCGGAGATCCCAGTCGACGGCACTTCAACCTACGTCGACGCCCCTACTGCGGCAGCCATCCGCCAACGTCTGGTGGCTGTTTCTGAACCTAGTAGAGACGACAAGACCAAGGATGCAGCTGTATCCGAACCACCCAGTCCCTCTGTTCTTGTCGATCATCCAAATCCGGGAATCTCAGCTATGGCTCAGGACTACGCCGAATTGGAAGCGGAGATTTCGAGCTCAGGACCGTTCAAAGTGACCTATCCTGCCAATATCACCCTGAAGAACTTTGCTGTCTATCAGCTGATACCTACACTTGTGTACGAGCTGGAGTACCCGCGGACAGATCGGATCCGGCCGCTGTATGTCTTTGAGAAGACAGTCGCTACGTTCGGCACCTTCGCATTGCTGTACACTGTGACGGAGAGCTTCATCTTACCCCGCACTGCTGCCGCTCAGGCTGCGGGGGATTCCTTTGCACGAGCTCTCCTGGATCTATCGCTACCATTCATGATTGCCTATCTGTTGTTGTTTTATATCATCTTCGGTATGGGCTCGCATATTTCCGGTCCCCGGCGTGCTTACGGTCCCGATTAGAGTGCATCTGCAACGGTTTTGCCGAGCTATCCTAGTGCGTCACACTGGGCACTCGCCTGGCGTATGTCGCTGACCTTGTTCCAGCTTCGCGGACCGTCAATTCTATGAAGACTGGGTTTGTTTCTACCCTCGCTTTGCACACATCGATGGATTGACAATGCCATAGTGGAATTCTACCTCTTGGGACGAATTTTCTCGCAAGTGGAATCGGCCTGTGCATACATTCCTGCTCAATCACGTCTACGCATCTACGATCGATGCCTACCGACTGTCCAGAGGTGCTGCGATGTTTCTGACGTTCCTGCTCAGTGCATGCGTCCATGAGCTGGTGATGGTGGTCGTGACGAAGAAGTTTCGGTATGTCACGCCCAAGGAAAGATCCGCTTTCAGTTTGGACGCTGAGCCCTTTGTTCAGATTCTATATATTCTTGTTACAGCTCATCCAGATTCCTTTGATCATGCTTTCGCGTCTGCCTATCATCAAACAGAACAGACTCATGGGGAACATCGTCTTCTGGCTCGGGCTGTTTGCTGGATTCCCGCTGCTCTGTGTTGGTCCGTCATTGAATCCATTGGCATTGTCACTTCTCTTATCCTCCTCACAGGCTATGTTGCTTATTGAAACTAGATCTATTATATTTCGAATAATGAAAATACACTTCCAACTGATCAATACTCTTAAATAACACCCCGAGTGTTCATGTCGATTCCTGGTATTCCGAGCCCCTGCTGTCGGTCCAAGCCAGAATCTCTGTAAAGAGGATTTCAAATTCTGAAACGTTTCTCAAATTTGCCTCCAGACCACACCAGTTGTCTGTTAAACACAGTAATTCCTAGTGGTGACGTGATGCAGTCGCAGCCACTGCCAGCCGTCATTGCCTTGCTTGTCAAGGCACTCTCCAGACCCTAAATTAACGCACAAATCAGATGAACCTGATCCGTGGTGTGATCCGCGTGATGATCAAAGTGTGATGTATCTCATGTATCTCACATACGGCCGAGTCAATTATTCAATATTTACGTTTGCGCCGAGCCTCGTACCTTTCTGCGCCATCGATTCCATGCTACTTGTACAAGACAGTCGCTCGATAAGAACACAGGTCGATCGAGCGTAGGTAAGAGCGCAGGTTGATCGGGCGTCAGGCTGACATTCAGCGTTGTAAGTCCCCGACAATAATCTCATCGTCCGTTTCACGTCTCCGGCGCATCCGCCATTCTCCCCCACCATCTCTTTGTATCTTCGTTCAATCGCTCTAATCTGTCATCCTCCGCAAGTAGGGCCATATCGTGAGTTTGTTTGAACGTCTTCTCATCGAAGTCGCGCAACAGTCGTATTGTCTCCCTCCCTGAGCTGCGAGACAACACGACATTTATCGCCCCAGAAGATTACATGAAGAAACTTCCGGGAGCTTCGATTGCGGTCGCTTTCAATATGACCCACTATTCGTTCATGAGCCAGCAACAAGACACATTCGTTGCGGACATCGTCAAGATACGCGTCATCGAGTCCCAGGTCGCTCCGCCGCCTAGCCCGAAAAAGCGTCGACCAGCGGTTCCTGACATGGATGAGAGCCCGAAAAAGAAAAAGACGAGAGCTGCTGGGGCTTAGTTACAATATGCTTGACAAAATGATTGTGTATTAATGCCGGATTAAAGTTATATCGGTAACTGTCTCTGTAACAAGTGGCAAGGCATTCTGTCGGCGGAGCCGACACTTTCTAGTTGATGGATTTGTCCTAGTGAGTGAGCGTCGTGACCGTGATGGGTGTGCACAGCCATCCTCCGTTAATCAATCCAAGCCTCGACTGACGGCTGGTCTATAAATTTCAATGCCGCGAGGAATCCCCAACGCTCGTCGAGATGAAGATGGGCTCAAATACACCACATTCTACGTTCCTCTTGCGGCCAATCCCAAACACATGGTGTCCAGCTACATGAAAAACGAATCTCAGACGATGTGGGCAAGGAACGCGCAGAAAAAGGCCCAGTCTAGGACGCGTCCAGAAGAAGGGACAGTTCCGCAGGAAACGAGGTCCGTGGTTATCTGCACTAATACGCGCTCGAAAAGTGATGATATGCGGTAGACGAGGGTCGCAGGTCATAGTCATCCATCCCGGTTCACAATCCATGAGAATTGGTAAAGCCTCCGACGTCTTTCCTATCACGGTTCCCAGCGTCGTTGCGAGGAAGATTACGCCTGCCTCAAATGTTTCTGCGCCGATATATCGGTCTGGGATTATCAGACGAAGACAAGAAGTAGCCATCAAAACTGAGGATTCGGCTATGGATGAGTATGCGGTTACGGTGAACTCTGACGATCCGGTCTGTTCATCTCTCCCTATCTCTAAAGACGGTATTCTGACCCTGCTCATTCCCTTAGTTCGAGGAGAAGATGGGAGAAGTCATCGTTTCTCTCCGGGATAGAATGCGTTTCTACAAGCTGCGCGTGACACCCAACGCCGCCAATGCCGCAACTACCTTCAACGAGCAATTCCAACCCGAGACGATTTCCGAACACAACGATGCTTTCCAATTGGAATGGATCCAGGAGGGGCCCGACGTCCTCATTGGGGAGAAGGTGCGCTCCAAAAGAAGCTGTCGTTCCGAATACCTGCTCAACGCACTAGGCACTCCGTTTAGCTGACCCGCAGGCGTCCGGCTACATCGTCCGATCTCCCTTACATGGATCCAGCTTCAACGTTCGAGACTACGGCTCTTCGGTCCAATCCATCCTGTCGGACATCGAGATTCTCATACGCCAGACGTTGCAAGAGAAGATGGGCATACAGCCCCGAGATTTCAAAGTAGGTCGTGATTCATGATAGTGCCCGGCTGGTGCTCAGTGGGGCGAAGGACTACTCTGTCCTGCTAGTGATCCCGGATCTGTATGAGCGATCTTATCTACGAGAGCTCTCGAACCTACTGCTTGTCACCATGGGCTTCAAGCAGCTCTGTGCGCAGCAGGTGATCGTCTTCTCTGTGTGATGAGAAGCAGCGACTGACTGATTGGCAGGAATCTCTCGCCGCGACGTACGGTGCCGGCTTGTCTAACGCCTGCGTTGTTGACATCGGAGCAGTGAAGACCAGCATCGCCTGTGTCGACGAAGGTCTGGTCGTTGCTGACACAAGGTGCGCCTTCAATTTGGTCGTCCGCCGACTCGGCCCTCAAACCAACAGGTTGATTTTGAACATGGGCGGCAACGATATCACAGAGTTTCTGAGCATTCTGCTCAAACGGATCCGTTTCCCATACAAAGAATTCGATTTATCGAGAGCGTACGACTGGAGCATATTCGAGGACCTCAAAGCTCGGATGTCTACACTTTCTGAGGTCGGTCACTCTCTACTCTGCAGACGTGCGGCTTATTTTCTTAGAGCGACGTGACTTTGAGTACCTATGACTTTATCGTCAGACACCCTTTCAAGCCGGCCAAGAAATACAGCGTACGAGCTTACGACGAAACCATCTTGGCGCCGATGGTAGGTTCGGTGGCCGGTCCATCGCGCATGCGTTCATCTTGTGCAGATTGTTTTCGAACCTAGAATGATCGACTTTGAGAAAAAACGACAAGCTCACATCCCAATGTCGAATCCCGATGTTACGGACGAGATCATCGACCACAACTCTGACCAAATAGTAAACATTCCTGTCCTGGCGCGATCCGTCGTTCAACGCGTTCCAGACCTCTGCTATGCTCATCTCGACGCAACATCTTATGCCGGCAAACGGCACGACCAAAATACCTGCTGGTGCCGCTAGTGCTAGCGCTGCTCCTCGTGTGGACGGGGATCCCCCTGCTGCGCCTGAACGCAGCCCTTCGAGCGAAGACAAGGGTAAGAAGAGCAAGCACCCCGGGGGTTTTGACATCGACGTCGCGGACGAAGCGAGTCGGCTTCCTCTTGACGTCGCCATCTTCAACAGCACTCGCGCGGCCGGCGGGGACGACAAAATACGCAAGTATCTGCAGGCCGTGCTGATCATCGGAGGGGGCGCGAATGTGCCTGGGATGAATCATGGGCTGGAGAGCCGGCTACAGGCAATTGCGACACCGCTGGTAGCGGATATGGAGAAAGTCCAAATCATTCCGCCTCCCAAAGAGGTCGACCCGACCGTGCTGGCTTGGAAAGGTGCCGCAGTTTTGGCAAAGATGGAAGGCGTCTCGGAATTATGGGTCACACAATCAGACTGGGTAACTTGACCTCAACATCGGTGTCTGATCCCTCACTCACGCTTGACGTCGCAGGACATTCTCGGAATTCGTGGACTGAAGGAACGGTGTTTTTTCTTGTAGTCGTGTGATATATTGTCTACATTGCTTTGGATGAGATGTACGTGTATAGTATGTGCGAATGGATGTTGGACTCCATCAAATCGCAATCCCTTTTGAGATAGGAAATACGATCTGCAGGAGTCAGTCGAAGACAACGTCGATATGGCCCAGTTGTTTAGCGACTCCGCAAGGAACATGCTTGCGGAGCGTTGATGAAAGGGCTGTCGGAAAGCGTTTCCAAACGCAGACTGAGTACGGGTGGATTCAGACGAGGCAAAGATGCAGGACGATTTGGTTTTATGACGGTCAAGAAACAAAAGTTTTCGCTGTGACTGGAATGTGACCAAGACATTTTGATCTCCAACTGCAGCTCACAGCCACTGATACCACTTCATCCACCACGACCATGAAGTCCAGCGACTTGCTCTTGATTATAGTGGGTATCTTCTGAGTGACTGTACGCTCTTTTGACTGGCCACGCGAACCCGATAGATTGCGATCTTCTTTCCTCCGGTTTCGACATTCTTCATCTCGGGCTGCGGATGTGACCTGCTCATCGGTATCTTGCTGTGCTTGTAAGGTCGACTCTCCAAGTTTGGGCTCCCGACTGAGCGCTTTCTATCCATCAGCCTAGGATATATCCCCGGCGTCATCGTGCGTTCCCCAAGCTTCCGCAAAGCTGTAATACGCATGCTGATAGCTCCCACGACTCATCTTAGCACGCGTTGTGGCTCGTCTGGCGCAAGATGGAGGCGGAGGAGCGCTTTGGCGGCGACGCATTCGTCTGTACGTACTGACACTCCATCGTTGATGTCGGAGAGTGACATTCTCATAGATGTCGGATACGGGAACTACGCGCCGCTGCAAGCGTCGGATGCGCCTCCCTCTTACGGAGCCACCGTCGGCCCTTGAGGCACCACGTGTTTTGTGCACGAGGAAGTTAAATTACAGTGTATGTAGTGCATAAGCCTTTTCGCTAGTACATCCTTGCGATCATGACCAACGGCAGCAACATCAGAGTCACACCTGGTACGACCACAGACTTGGAAGCCCGGTTTACTGCAATTTAAGAATGAGTTCGACGGCGATATGGGCAGACGAATGTATCTCACATGGCGCAGTCGCGGTAGATGATGACGGGGGAACGAAAACGGTTGTGGTAGTGGATGGGGACACCGAAAGAGGAAGGCTGCGGGTGGGTGTGAAGGTGGGCAAACTTGGCAGTGTCGCCGAAGTCGGGCTCGAGAGGACGGGACTGGTTGGAATGGAGGCAACAGTCGAGAACGATGTCCCTGTAGGCAACTGAGATGTAGGAGGGCTTGGCTGGCTGGTGCTGGATGTGTGGCTGCTGGAGGTGGATGCAGAGACAGAATTGCCTCCCGAGCTCCCATCAGAAGCAAGATGGGCAAATCCGACAGACGGGGGGTTTTGTTTGAAAACGGTGTACACATTTTTCTAGAGGGAATGATGAAGTGGACCAGGATGCGAAAGTGGGCAATAATACTCACAAGGAACGTATCGCCGATGACCCAGCCAGGGCTGCCGGGTGATGTTGCCGCCCCCGATGTCAGATCGAAGATGGCGCCCACACAGAGAGAGCTGCCGGTGACTAACTGGCCGATATTCATATCTTGTGGGTTGATGGTCCAAGCCTGTCCACCAAACGAGATCGTGACGCTAACGGTAGTCGAACACGCTGGAGTATCTCGTCAGATGCATTCCCGAACGCATCACAGCCGGGATGACTCACGAAACTGATAGTAGCCTTGTCCGACAGATGCTGGAACAGGACTGGATCCGGGAACTGCAGCCCAGATGGCTCTGACCGTGTCGCTAGGGCCTCCGATGAGCGATGTCCCGGTGTCAATGGCTGCAACAGCAGATCCATCAGATATTGCAACAGATTTGCCTTGAATCGTCAGGGAGGACACCTGAAGCAGCCAAAACGTGGGCGTCTGAGACCCCACTAGATTGTGGAATTCGATGTTCCCTGTGTAGAGAGAAGTGTCCGTGCCTCCTAGCGTGAACGTCCCGCCCGGCTGATCAGACGAGCGGGAAGAACGCGCGAGATGGAAAGCCATTTCCTGCGACGAAAGCTGGTTATTGGCAGACAAGGCCTGCCAAAAGGGCACTGCTCCGGTGTTTGCCAGGGCCTGGAACGCCAGACCCATTAAGCCGGAGACGTTGCCAGTGAGCAGGCCACTTGTCAGCTGCTCAGCAAGCACTGGAATCGAAGTTTTCAGACTATGTGATAGGAAGAGAGCAAGTCTAATCACGCACGAAAGCCTTGAGAGGATACAGTGAAGGGCCCCATAGTCACTGTGTCTGTAGCGACGATCCCGGCAACACTGCCGGAGCCGTAGTTGACCTGGACGGGTGCACTGGCTGCCTGATGGAATGTAGAGGACGACGAGAAATCAAAAGAGATTCCAGTGCTGCAACCAAGGCAAGCCGAGTCCACCACCCAGAAATCAGACGAGCCGGTATCGAGGATGACCTCAAAGTTTTGTGATCTGGAGAGCATTCGCGAAATGCTCGTTACAGCAACGGATAACCTACGGGGTTCCAACGGAAACCGTTCCGACGTAACTTGCATCCGCGTGCTAAGATACTATGTTCAACTAGTCGTCCGGCGGAGAAGAAAACACTCACCTGATCAGTCAAGGGAAAGCTTGATGTCGCTCTTTCATTCAATTTCGACGAGTAACCATATCGTGCGCGAGCCCGGGCGCCAGCAGCGAAGTGATCTGTTGCATTCCGGACGCGATCTGACATTCGCCGGAGCGGGATGTGGACGGCTGGTCCCGCACACGACGCTTGTGGCAGCAGCAGGACGAGGGCGGCGACGGCGACAGAATAAAACATCGTGGTTGAGAGCGAAAGCGTCGGAAGAGGATCTGAAGGCCTCCTTTAGGCGCAGTAACGGATGACAACACACGGTGAGAGCAGAGAAGCCAGATTGATTGGATGCCGGCCGCTGTTGGTCAACTTGGCATGCCGGAATGGTCAATGTTCTCCGGATATAGACACATTGTTGAACTTGATCTACTTGTTAGATGCTACGACCTTGGCTTGAGCCGCATTTCGACTGTTCAAGCGTCAGACTCTGCCCGATGTACTACTGATGGAATCATACATAACATTGATTCGAAAATCCCCGCAAATCGAAGATTGCCGATCTTGAACGTGAATCAAGATCAATGTCTGGTCTCCATAGCTGAAGTTGGTTGCATCGAGGGCTGGGAGTGTAAGCGCCCAGTCCACCGCTCATGAATATCCATCCAGTTCAGAGGCCAAAATCAAGCTGTAATTGTGATGGCATCAGCCGAAAAGGACATCTGTGTGATCTCGACTCTCACACTAGAAAGCGTCGGCTCCGCCGACATCATGCCTTGCTTGCCGATTAAATCCATACAATCGAATTTATACACCATAAAACAAGTAAAATACCAGCGCAGTCGTAACTAAGCACCAGACGCTCTCGTCTTCTTTTTCAGGCTCTTGTCCATATCAGGCACCACCGGCAGAGACTAGATGAGGCAAGACAACATCATGCGGTGCATGTGCTCGTGTGTGCAGTGGTGGCATGTGAAGCAGCGCGGTTAGAGAGTGACACAAGCAGAAACAAAAACAGCCCACAGGTGGGTGCACACTGCAAAAGAGAGTCATCATCGTGCATGGAACTATAAATTACACTGCCTTGCCGCGCTATAATGCCAGCAACAGCAGGGAGCATAAGTACAAAGATAAGAGTGAAGAGTGAATGAGACCATGACACGAAGGTACAATTGATCGGATCGGAATCCGGAACAGAGTCATCTGATTGATTTCATCAGTGATGGGATCTGATTGATGCACGAATTTAGGGTCTGGAGAAGCCTTGACAAGCAAGGCAATCTCTGCAGAGCACGATACCGTCCTTTGATTTCCGCACAGCAACTTCCACACCCTTAAACCCGAGTGCATGTCGACGCACCGAAACATCTCAAACAAACATAGCCTTCCCAGCAACGCTGTTAATTTTGACATCACTCGTTCGGATGGAGACTCGTCTCTGTGGCCGACCAACAATGTTCCAATACCCGACGAGCAGGGGCATGTCAACTTCATGAGGCCCGTCGCGATAGATGAATCTGCAGCCATCAAATGGAGAACAACCATCGGAGACGCGGTGTCCAATCAGTGCGGAATGAAGGATCCTCGTACGCCTTTCGCTGCGATGATTGCTTATGGCGATCTGACTAGGGCCAGAGGGCAGGCCCTTCGTGCTGAGAGATTGGCCGAGTGGATACCGGATGTTTGATCACCAGAAGGGAATACAATCTGCTCCTCGACACGATTTGTACCTCATCGGCATGTGGGCTGCCTATTCGCGCCGGCTGTACTCGACTGACTTTGTCTACCGTGCAGGCTCCAAGTTGTGCCCCAAATTCCGGTCCATCCCCGAATTCATACCGCATGGGATCTGGTTGATGGGGGATGGGAGCGACAATTGCAAATGCAAGTATTGTAGCAAACGACCTCAGACTGAAGTATCGCGCGCTTTCCGTACCAGTTCTCCTTCTCCCTCCCAGAACGCATCACCTTCTGCACCCCGTCGTCCGAAGACGGAAAAGTCGAAATCGGCTCGTGGTCTGAATGAGCGAACACGGCAAATACCCAAGACATATGCCGCAGTCCAAAAGACGCCAGCGTCTGCAAAGTCGGCCGCAAGCGCTCCATCAGAGATCATGAACGTCGAACGCAATAACGATCTTCGCTTTGCTTGCCGAGCTCCGTTCCCTGGTGCCTTGCCTCGCTGGTTCCGCGATGGTGAACTTGTTTGGTTCGAATTCGATGAACCTTTCCGAGCGTCGACTGGCGAGCAGATCCAGTTCTGGCCTGCGATCATAGATGAAACAATGTTATCGACCAGAGCGCAGAGACAGGAACCGACGGGCACTGACGAAGAACCGACGTGGACCAATCACCAACATGTTTTGCATAGAATTCGTCTGTTGGCAGCAGCGCGAACGTGGAAGACGGTCTTGAGTACTCGACTACTGCCGTATCAGGCCCATGTGGTGCCTACTGCGGTTCTGGAGCAAATGGTTTCGAGACCTGCGAAGGAATGGAATCTTGACCCGGATCACATCGAGCGATTTAGCGTTTTGCCCGAACCTCCTGCTCAACCGCCAACTTTCGCTGAAGCATTGACTCCATTTGCTGCAGCGCTGCAGATTGCCTCTTCACTATGCGAACTTTGGTGTTTGAACGATGCCTGGGAGGCCTCGATGACCGTCATACCTACTGCAACCGCGCCTCCGCCGCCGACATCAGCACCTGCGCAACACTCATCGCTGACGTCGGCCATCGAGATAGCAGGCATGAGCAATGCGTCGGCGTCAGCCGGCCCGTCTCGGCTTCCACCGGCCCAGCCTCTTCCCTCGAAAGTCATCACGCAGTCGAGATTCCAGGGCCTGTGGTGGGGCGGGGAGAAGATCTGGTGCGACGATGTAGTCCGGCTAAAGCTGCCCCGAAGCTGCGTAGCACCAGCGGGCGCCCATCACGTGTTTGCACCCGCCGGCCCTGGGCCCAAGTCGCTGGCGAAGGTCCAGGCGAATCAGGGCAGCGTCGATGACTACAGCGCTTCGTCCCGAGCCGTGTTCCTGAAGATCAGCGCCATTTCGATCGTGGAGGGCAGCGGCCCGAAGAAAGAGTGTCGGGTGACAGGCATGATGTACGAGCTGGCTGACGATGACTGGGAGGATCCGAATCTGCCACGCAACCTGCCTTTCGCAGCCCCCCCTGCATCTCCTCCTGTTGCCGCTGGCAAGGGCACGTATCCGCTTCCCCTCGCTCCAACAGGCTTCCGGTTCCGCGAGATCCTCTCGCCAGGATTCGAGGCAGTCTTGTCATTGAGTCTAATCGCTGGACGCTACTACCCCGGCCTACTCAACCATCCGCTGCTGAAGGAAAATCTCCAAAATGTGGTTCCGGGCAGTCCTGAATCAATGGGAACCGTCGAACATCTCCTCTCGCTCGAGGGCCTGTACGGCGGATACAAGAATTCTGTCGACCCCACGAACTACAAGCCCTCACGGGAAAAGATGGTCTTGTTCGCCACGAAAGAGGCTATCGAGGTGTTGCAGAAGCACGTGCAGGAAAAGGAACTGGAGGAGATGTCCGTGGATGAAGATGTCATGCAAATTGATAACTACTTGATGGAGACTGATCATATTAGCACGTGACCGCGTCGTGTTTGAAGTGTACCTCTGTTCGTGGCCCCTCCTTTTACGACTACCCTGCATTCATTCTCTAGCTTAAATGCAAATTTTTAAGCCCCACGCTTTCTTAGTTCTTTCCTTACGGCCCTTCGCCATAAGATAGGTCGCAAACCTTTCAGTGCAAGGATAGTAAGCTTTCCCCTCGGTTGCGATCAGGTTCGGACTGATCCGAACACGCCACGAATTTAAAAGTGGTTCGACCTGGGTCCCTGAACATCGAAGTCAGCTTGTAAGCCGTCACCACTCATGGGCGCAACTCCCCAATCTAAAAAGCCGTCTGGCGCGGCCAAGGAGAAGGCGGACGTCATTGTCGTCAGCGACGCAGGGAAAGCGATCGACCGACGCCTCGACCAGCACATCGGCTATGAGTTCGGTGGACCGTGGGGCGTCACTGCTATCATGACTGGATTCCCCCTCCTCATGTACTATCTCTGGATCTGTCTGTGGTTCTACGATGGACAGCTGACCCACCCATCGTCCTTGGATGACGTGAAACCGTTCTTGGGGAGGATGTGGGATCATTTCTACCAGGTACGGGGATCGGCAACCAGACTGCGATGAGCGCTCAGCCGCTTTGAAAGGACGCATTCCCGACCGCATGGGCATGGAAAGTCTACAGCACGAACATCTTCTTCCAGCTCTTTCTTGCGTGGGTCATGCCCGGAGTCCAACAGAAGGGCCTGCCCGTTCCCTCGCTCGGCTATGAGTCGCTCATGTACAACTGCAACGCGCTGTTCTCCATGTACGCGACGATGATCACCGCAGCGGTCCTGCACTACTTCCACATCTTCCGCCTCAACGAGATCATCGACAACTTCGGCCCCCTCATGTCGGTTGCGATGTGCTGGGGCTTCGCAGTCTCGTTCGGGATGTACTTCTTCACGATTGCGACGGGGCAGCAGATCCGCATGTCGGGGAGCTTCATCTACGACGTGTTCATGGGCGCTATGCTCAACCCTCGCCTCGGCCCCATCGACCTGAAGATGTGGGCGGAAGTACGCATTCCGTGGAATATCGTATTCTTCATGTCCGTCTCGGGTGCATGCAAGCAGTATGAGCAGTACGGAACCGTCACTCCCGTGCGTGTCATCTCTGCGCATTTTGCGTTTGCCCCATGCTGACGACGTTTGCGCCGCAGAACATGGCGTTCATGGTCCTCGCGACGTGGCTGTATCTGAACGCCTGGTGCGGATGTTTATCGCACGCGCAAACCGGGTGAATTTGACGCGTTTTTCTAGCGCCAAGGGGGAGGAATGCATTCCTCAGACCTGGGACATGTTTCACGAGAAGTAAGCGTTCGGTTCCGGTCGCATCAATCATTAGATCTGACTGCCGTGGCAGATGGGGCTTCATGGTCATCTTCTGGAACCTGGCTGGTGTTCCTTTCGTACGTGTCTATTTGCGCCGTCGAGCGTGCCATCACGGCTCACGACGACCGAACAGTCTTACGTCTACTCGATTGTGTACATGTCGCGCACGGACCCGTCCAAGTACCAATTCTCGACGCTGCGGTATATCTTCATGTTCACTGTCCTCGTTGCGGCCTACTGCGTGTGAGTCGTGTTCTGGCTTCTGTTGGTAGGACTTGCTGAAGCGGGGGGCACTAGCTGGGACTGTGCCATGTCGCAGAAGAGTCGCTTCAAGATGCAAACACAGGGACTCACCAACTTCCGCAAGACATTCCCCCAGATCCCTGGTTGCATCGTCCAAAACCCAACGTTCATTCAGACCAAGCATGGGTCAGTGAAATGTCCTGTCGTTCTGTCGAGCAGTTGTTGATCCCTGTATTCAAGCAACCGCCTCCTCACTAGCGGCTGCTGGGCCTGGTCACGCAAACCGGTTTGTTCGTTCTGTACTACACAAGTCACGTTCTGAACACGTCTCAGAACTACGTCGCGGACTGGATCATGAGCTTCTGCTGGGGCGCTATCATCGGCACCGCCACGCCCATTCCCTACTTTTACTCGGTGTTCTTCATTACAGTTCTCATCCATCGCACCACCCGCGACTTCGAAAGGTATGTTGCGCGTCCAAAACGCGTTTTTCGATGTCTAATGTATTGGCCAGATGTGCACTCAAGTACGGCAAGGACTGGGACCGTTACTGCGAGGTTGTCCGATGGAAGTTCATTCCCTACGTTTATTGAACATCGAAAACTAATCACGTCGACGGCATCTTGAGACATGCTGTCTTCAATCCATCTATACCCCCGTTTAGTGTACTCTGGACTAAAAGTAGACAGCACACTGACCTCCAGAGAACCTGGCAACTTGAATGAGCAGATTCCGCTTGTTTTCAATGGCTGTGGCCGAGCGCAACTCGTAAAGTGTCGAGAGATTGAACAGAAACGGCTCGGCAATGACGACACTCGAAGGCGATGTATTCAGCGCACTCTCCATGACGGCAATGCCCTCCTTGAGCTTGCCCTGCGCAAGCAATGTCACACAGAGATTGTTAACCGCCTGCGACGCAACATCAATACAAACCAGTATCGTCAGATCGCGCAGGATAAACGCACCACGTAGTCCTCGCCCTGCTCATCAACCGCTGCCTGCAGCAGCTGGCTAGCATGTTCCCAATCGCCTTCCGCAGCCGAATACAGCGCATCGTTCATGCGGGTCATCGACGACGGGGACACTTGATCAGACTCGGCAGCAAGCTTGAAGTGCCGATCCGCAAGGCCGAGGTGGCCCGCCTGGAGATAGATTCGCCCCACGGCAGAATGCATAGCCGGAGATGTGATCCCATCTGGCTGAGTGCACAGCGGCTCTAGCAGGCGCGCAGCGGCCAAAAAGTCCTTCATCTCGACCAGCTGCGACGCGATGATCAAGCACACGCGCGCGCCCCGCTCCTTCCACATGGCTACTTCTGTCCCCTGGCGCATCTTGGCTTTCCTCGCTCGGGCTTTGCATGTCTTGACCAACGCCCACAGTGCATCAAGGTGTCCCATGTGGTCACCCGCCCAATAGCGCAGCCGCGCATAGAGGACCTCCAGTTCAAACGGCAGGATCCGCTCGAACAGCCATGTGCGCGAGGCCGCGGGCTCGATGCTGTTGAGCAGATTGAATAGGTTGGTGCATTCGGCCGTCGTCTGATTGAACAGCCGCAGTCGCGCTAGAGACGATAGTCGGAGGTACCACAACTGTGAACCAATCAATCAATGGCGCAAGTAGGGCGCGATGTGGCCTAAACGGTACTCACTCCGAGTATCAAAGTCAGATCTTCTGGATCCGAGGTAACGATTCGGTCCCGCGCCATGCGAGCCAGTGCACGCCAGCTGTTGCTCATCTACATGTGCATCCTCAGCTCGACCCAGCGCTGTCGTCCATCAAGCACTCACGACAAGCTTATGGAAATCGGTGCGCTGCCACTCTCCGGAGAGATCTCGCACGGGTCGTTTGTCAGGCGGATGGATGTATTTGTTGAGTAGCGTAGTCAAAGGATCGGTCTACGTGTGGTGTACAAAGGCAACGATGATGATGATAAAATAGGCCTCCCGGTCAACCACCAAACAAGCATATGGGAAGAAAGGGAAAGCGCGCGTACGTTGGGAATAGGCAGGAACATCGTAGGGATGCACAGCCCGGGCAGATAGATCTCCGGCGCATCCTCCTCGTCGCTGTCTGACTCTGGCGGTGGCGGTGGCGGCATGGCTTTATTTAGGTTCGGAGAGGCGAGCGGCACAGGGGCCGACGGCGGAAGCACTGACGCTTCCTGCGTCAACGCGATCGCTATCGTCGCCTGAGACTCGGTCGGTGTCAACGCGACCCGTCCGCCCTCGTCGCCTTCATCCCCAGATTCATCCTCATCATCATCATCAATGAGGAACGGATCGGGGACTTCGGGCTCGACGAAAGCAGTGGGCGGGCTGGCCAGCGAAGACGAGCCCGACTCCTCCCCATAGAGGCCCGCAGAGGGCTCTCCATGCGCTTCGAGAGACATGTCTTCCACAGAAGAGTCGTCTGAAGTCACCAGCGAAGGGGGGGACGACGAAGTGGAGGCACGCGAGTCGTAAGAGTCGTAAGATCTGGCGCTGCCAGGAGTGAAGACGAGGGGTGGTTCGTACTCGTCGAGGACTTGAAGGGGGTGAAGATGGACGACCGGAGCAACAGGGTTCACGGCACGTGTTTCGGCATGCGACTCGGAAGACGAACTGGATGTCCGCCGCAAGCGAGCGTGGCTCACTTTGCGCACGGCCCCTTTGATTGCCTTGCCCAGAGTCTTGAGCGGCTTGGGGGAGGGGAACAGCTGGGCTGGGATGGATCCATAGGATCCTGATTTGCGGCGGATGATCACAGGGAAGGGGTGGTGGGCTGAGTCGGACATGTCTGTTTCGCTATCTCTGAGGCATCTCTGGGCTGCCTTCTTATATCAGCCTCGTTTTGTTCGCGACCGCACTCAAAGCGTTCGCCGTTCGGGTCTTGACGGGATGCGGACGGCTGGAACGGACGGAAGCACAGGATCATCACCCAGACGCGTTATCGATCGAATCTGGGGAAGTCGAGGTCCCCGTCGTCAATGACATTCATACACGACAGAAAGCAGTTATACATGGGACTAGGCTGTGGATATGATAGAATGAGGGGTTCCATACGACGAGAGCGACATGATGCACACAAAATAATAACAATAGCTCACATCCCGGCTTGCCGATTCAGGATGTAGTGGCTCAGATCCTGCCACCCGCCGCCCACCCGACACATGACTTTCCGGGTCACAATCGCCTCCGACGCTTTGCCGGTGCGGGTCAAAGTGGTGAGCTTGCAAGTGATCACTTTGCGACTCAGCGCGTTCGAGAATGCGTACTGCGCTTTGACCTCCTCGCCCTCTCTCGGCAACTTCCGAAGAGGCGGATCCACTCGCTCGACCAGCAGTCCATGCGCGATCGAGTTGGCCACAAAAGAGACCTCGGCATCCAGCGGATCGTTCGGGTTTCCAGGTATGTACTCATGCAACGGCAGCCCGTCATTGCTGGGAGTGTAAGCGCCGGCTCTCGACCCTGTGCGAGACGGAGTCCGACTCGCAGAACCGTCGCGGAAACTTGACGGAGGCACTTTCGACGCGCTTCCTGGCATGGGAGGACGTCCAGGCGTCCGTGCCGGTGTCCCGGGAAACACTGGAATCTGCTGCACCCGAGCACGCAGGGTGAATTCAGGCGTCTGGGCCCGGGCTGCGGCCGTTCGAAATGAATCGTCGTTATACGACATGGAAGTTCCCGGGCGCGAAACCGAGGACAAATGGAGAGTGGGAATGGGAATCATCGAACGACTCGGTGGTCTAGGAGGGTGGATTGTGCTACCGTTCGGAGTGGTTGCCTGCGGATCATCCCAGCCGTCATCAGATGCCGGAGGCACAACTGACCGCAGTTTGAGACTCGGAGCAGGTATGTGGCTTGGGGTTTTCGCTCTCGCTCTGGGCGTCATTGGGACGGCTGGTGTATAAGATCGTGACGGCGTTGTCGGCCGATGGGGTGTTTGCGATCTTGAAGGCGGTCGGTAATTAGGGATGGGGGGATGAGGTCGAGAGGAAGAATGGGTGGTTGATGCAGACGAGGTGACCGGGGACCACGGTCGGGATGATGCCATTGAAGTGCGCGATAAACTTCGCCTGAACACCCCACTCAGCGAAGAGGACATATCACCATAAGCACCAGAGGCAGACGGCGGGCGTTTCTGAGGCGTAGCCTTCACTGTGACCTGACTACTCACATCCACTTTGGTCGAACTGTTCCATGGCTGTCGGCCGGGAGCAATGCTTGTCCGAGACCTGGAAGCCTCTTTCACCGCATTCGGAGAAGAGTCGGGTGTAAGACTCGTGCTGTACTTGTGCCCAGGTCGATCGGGAGTCATTGGTGTCGGCGTTGCTCCTGTACGGAATCCGCTGAAAATGGATACTCGTTGTTGCCTGCGGTTGCTCTGGGAACCTGCCAATGGTCCATCCTGGGATATCGTTCTCGTTAGACTGTTCTTATTGATCGTCAACGGTGGTGTTGCGCCAGTAATCTTGCGAGCGAATTTCCGAAGTGGTGAAATAGAGCCTGAGATCGAAGTGCCCCCTCGCTTGGAACCACTGGGAGGCGTGTTCAGGTATCCGTTTCGAGTGTGGGAAGCATTCCCAGACGCCACCGAGCCACTCTCGCTGGGCGTATCTCCTCCAACGAGCAGCCGACAAGCAGCTTCCATCTCAGCATCTGTTCTGGTAATCCGTTCTTTGAGATTTTTCCACCGTTGCGCAGATTCTGCATGCCTGCGCAACGTTTCACCGTTCTTGGTGACGCGGTCTCGGACACCTTTGTCGATGATGGAAAGAACCTTCGATGTGGCCGGCATATAGTGCCTGGTACGGGCCAATTAGAGCCCAGATAGACGGTCAACGAGAGAAACTGACTTTTTCTTCGCTTCAAAAGATTCGAGAAGTGAAGTGTAAGTCTCGAAGCTGGGCAGCTTATCCCGGGAATCGGGAGAGGTAGAGAATGTGAGAGGATCTTCGACGCGCTTGTGCACTTGCCATATAAATTCCTCCATGGCGCAAATTAGCCTTCCAGCAGAGAACCAAAGCATAAGCACGCACCTGGCACCTGTTGACCGCCTTTTCCAAACTCGACATCATCCCATCCGCCTGGTCAGTCACAGTCCGGAATACGGTCAACCACTTGTCCTCCTTCAATTCTTCCCTCAGCACCTCGCTCTCGTCCTGGACCGCTTCCCACTCCGCCACCAACGCAGCGTGTTTCCGCAGAATCACCGCTTGCTCGCTCGAATCCCCGCTTCTCTGGGCAACCGTCGGCGTGGATGCGTTCTGCAGATGCGGCTCAAGTGAATCGCTGATTGACTTCATGCCCTTGGACACCGTTTCAATCCGCTCATCCAGACTCATGAGCGACTGGTCGATGATGGTCGTCGTCCCGGCACTGTCCCCCGCAGACTGTGATTTGTGGCGGAGCTCCTGTATTTCTGTGGTGCGGATCAGCTCGCTAGCACGCGCGGCAGCCTCATGGCAGTCCGCCCGTCCGCACCGAATATACGCGTCTGAATGTCGGATATGTTGTACGAAAGCTCCGTGATATGTGTCGAGATGGCCAGAAGGCGGAGATCTCTGCACCCCAAGCTCAAGTCTCGTCCTCGGTATGGAAAGCACGGATGCCACGACTCACTCCTCGTCCCCGCTCTTCTCCTTACTATGTTTGAGAATCATCGGGGATTTGACCGTTACGGTGAGGTTTTCTGCACGGGCGGGCGGCAGAGCGTGTTAGCGAGATGGGCGCGTGGGTCGGCAGCGAACTTGCCTTCATCCTCCTGATTGAGCGACTTGGACGATGAGGCGGAGGATACCGATCCGGGGGTCGGGGGTGCTCCGAGGCTGAGTTGGGAGAGGGAGTGGGAGATGGCGAGTGTAGTCGACATATTTGAAGAGATGGAAAAGAACGAGTGAGGGTTGCGGCAGGTTAAGCTATAATGGAAAGAACAAGGTTATGATACAAGACTTCGAGAAATCCGCGTCGACTAGGCTCCGGTCGTGAAAAAGGTGTCGTCAGGGTATAGAAATTGGTGAGGCCAAGCGCGACGGATCCCTGTCCGCCTTGTAGAGGAATTTCGGTTGAGGAGAGACGATGCCACTTGTGACTGATTGGTTGATGGCAGAATCTGTTGTTGTTCGTCTACAAGTTGCGTCTCACATTGCACGATCGAGTATAAAGAGGTTCAAGCTTTCATTCGCGAGAGATTAGGACGCCCGACAGCCAGAGAATCGAGATTTCCAATGAGAGATTAATTCAAGTTTTGGAGTAATGTACAGATAGATGATGATGATATCATATACAAGCAAACATACAAAGCAAAGAGCATTACCAAAATGCGCACCAACCAGAAAAACACTGGCATAGATTTTCGATGGACATGGCTTCGGTGATGAGTCGATCGACCTGTTCTTTGACGTTGAGTTCTGCGCCAAATTCTCCCCCCTTGAGCTTATCCTGGACCCGGCGATAGACGGAGAGAGCCCGGATATTCCGCACTTCCTGGGCCCCAGTATCCGCGCCTCCCTCTGCAAATTGCATCAGCAACAACTTACAAAAAGACAGATAGAGACAGATCGTCTCACCGCTGAAGATATAGTTTTCGTCGGCTTTGAGTTTACGACTCGGGGCCTGGGGATGGGCTGCTACTCGAGCCAATTCGGTAACACGTCTGGGATCCGAACTCCCTCGAATCTCCGGACTGTGCTGAGCCAGCCGCCAGTTGACGAGAGGATCGTAGATGAATGCCTCTAACACGGCCATCAACGACTCTTTGTTGTCACGCAGCACACGCATGGTGATTTCGCAGGTGTTCCGGAAGCTCCCCTCGATTCCGCTTGCCTGGAGAAGGGGGCGGGGATATCAGTCTTGCGGGCAGAAAGAGACAATACAGCAAGCATCACCTCCATAGCTTGGGTCAGCATCCTCGTCAACCTAAACGGAATCTTCTCAGGGAACTTGTCGCGGGTCATCGCAATCTCGAAACAGTCGCCGAAGTCTATCTGGATGATCTTGCCCGTCGTCCGTTCGATGAGGAGGTTGGAAGGATGTCGGTCCCCGAGACCGAGGATGTGCCCCACCATACTGCTCACGGCGAGCGAGCGAGTGTATGTGCTCCTGCGCTCGAGCCAGTGCTCCGAGTTTTTGCTCTTCAGCCACAGAACTCGGTACAGATCCTGTCCCGTTGTATTCTCGAGCGCGTATTCGAACACCTCGACCTTTTGCAGCACGGTCAGGTTCTCGTAGTCCGGTGCCATCTGGATCATCATGCGGTACTCGATATTGAGCACCACCTTTCGCGCTTCTCGATAGTCGCGGACCAGGACATGTAGTGTGTCGCTATCTTGCACCCATCCGAGCAGACCTGCGTTGGGGGCGATGGGAATCACAGGATATCGCTGGATGTGGAGCCGACGCGTGAAGCTCGAGCCGTCGAGGTACAAGAGATTGTTGACCAGACTGAACAGTTGCATCACCCGCTCATCTTGGCGGAGATCCTCGTGCCCTTTGAGCAGATATTGGTAGTCCCGACCGTTGCTGCCAGTGAGACACAGGCGACGAGGTCGCTGTTTCGAGGCGATCACCGTCAGCTTGGGCGCAAATCTCTGGATGTGGATGACTTCATGTCCACTGCGATACGTCCCTGGGCATGAGAAAGTCAGCCACTCTGATCAACGTGACTTCCGACATCGAAACTCACCGGGAACCGCCAGATCGAGATCCCGAGCCTCCAAGAGACGCGGAGATACGTACTGCAGATCGAGGGAGGACAGCCCCGGCAACTGCTTTTCTATCTTCTTGAAGACCTGAAATCAAAGTCAGAGATTGTATCATGACACATGATCGTGCATACCGCATAATAGATATCCCACGCCTTATCGAGTTCGCTGGTGTCTCCGTAGATTCGATATCTCTTGCACGCATCCCGTGCTTCCCTCAGCTCTTTTCCGAAATTGCTCGCAAAGCTCGCCTCGCGTTGAGTTTGCGTTCCCTGGTCAACATGAGCTCAGGTCTCGCGCAGTCCATTCCCAAACTCACATGGTCGAGAAGATCGTGCAGCGGCTGCAACACGGCAATCATGCCGTCCGCATTCTTCTCTGTGAAATACAGTCTGGACGCCTCTTCAAGACCTTCATGCCATCGCTCGTGCCAGAGTATGGCGACGCGGATGAGCTCTGCACTGACGAGCTCCGCTTGCTCGACAATGCCGCGGCTGTGCTCCTTGAGCACGTCCATAATGATGTTAGCTGCCGCTTGCCGGTTGACGCTCTGAGATGTCGAAGCCACAACGAGCGGGTAGACTAGCGCCTGCGGGTGGGTTCTCCCAACATCGATGAGGATATGGTTGATGTCTCGTCGAATATTCGCATGCGGAGTCTGGATCCTGGCAATAATCTGCGTCGCCCATCAGCTCCGCTATGAAAAAAGAAACCCAAATTCCCTCACCTGCGGAATCACGTCCAGCCAACTGTCGATGCTCACAGCTCGGAAACCATTGTTAATGGCTTGGCTGACATCGTCGTGCGCACCGAACTCGAACCACAGAGTCAGTAATCGCAGGGTGTCTTGGAGCGAGTTCTGGTTGTTGAGCGCGATAGAGCGGAAGAATCCTGCCGGCCATATTTATCAGCATCAGCAGAGCGGCTGAGGACGACATCTCATCTCACCCGAGATGGCCTGCACAGCATGCGCTGCTAGTCGATTACCAGCAATTTCCGTCCGATCTTGGGCCTTCATGTAACTGATGACGTTGAAGTTGGATAGCGCCCAGGTGTGCCACGCCTTGTACCAGTCCGGATCGTAGCGAGTGGCGACCAGGAAAGAGGTCAAGATTTCGGCGTAATGTGGACTCTGTCACAGATGTCAGTTGCATCTGGGCTGCGAAGACAGAGACAGAGACGCACTCGGACCCAGTCACTGCGCAGCTGCTGTTCCCACTCGCCCACCTTGAAGTAGCATCGCGCGAGCAGCTTATTTTGTTTGCTCAGCTTTTCCTTCGATGCCTGAGGACTCAAGCGTGGATCATGAGCTTCCGCCTCCAAATCGCGGGTCAGCGTGGAGATGAAGTCTCGCAGGAATGCACAGCTGTTCTGGTGCTCGCCAGAAACCCACATATACTTGAGCTGAGCATAGACGACATCCGGAGGAGCCTCTGTTTGCCGCCGCTGCACCTGGAAACCCGCTTTCAGAAGATCGAGCCTGCTCAGAGCTTATTCACGTACTGGAGATAGCAGAGAATCGATCGTCTTCTCCGCCAGCGGCAATCTGTCCGAGGAGCGACAAAGATTCGCGAATTTAATCCACATCTCAGGATCAGACTGTGGGGCACATCGGTTAGTCGCCGTGCACTGAGGGTGGACGGAAAAACCGGACCTCGGGATTGATCACAAGCGAACGGACTTGCAGGACGCGTTGCCAAACTTCTACATCTCTCTTGCAACCGGAGAGACTGGACGGCGCGATCAGCTTGCAAACTCAATCCCCCTTGGCCATACCGATGCATACCGTTTCATCCAAGCCTTGCGCATTGTTCGCTGACGTTCCGGTTGGTCCGCACTCTTCTTGTACAGGATGATCTCCTCCAGCTCCGAAAGTAGCTGGGTGCGAACCATGACACTGTCCACAGTCAGCTCGCTACATATGTAGACGACGAACGCACGACTCACTCGTAGGACCGGCTGTATCCATCACCTACGAACGAGGTCAACATGGGATGGATGATGTCACGAGTCTTCATGATGTGATAAATCGCTTTCGGGAAATTGTTCTGGTGGATGGACATGATCGCTTTGTAGAAGTGGCGGTCTGGCGAATCCGATCCCATGGTGCTGATGTACACATCCATAGTCTCCCAATCCGCCCGCGACCAAGCCGCTGTCGCTGCCATGGGCGCGATTTCGGTGCGCTGCTCGGGACCAGCCTCAGTCCAGCAGCGGCCGACATGGTCTGCCAGCTCGTCCCATTCCCCCAGTGCGTTTAGACACTTCATCCTCCCTATCTCGATCTTCATCGTCGGCCCCTCTTCGCATGCTTTGCGGTTGTAGGCGTTTAGAGCCTCTGACCAGCGCCCGAGCTTTTCGTACCATTCCTCGTGCTCAGACATCTCATACCGTTCCACGGCCGTCGAAACGTTTCCCCAGGCAGCATCTCGTTGCTGCAGCCGGGTATTAATGGAAATTAGCGCCTCGATCGTGTCAGCGGAAGGATCGACGAAGTACTGCAGCTCTTTATAGTGCAGCGCCTTGGTGTATGCGTTGTGCCGCATGGCATAATCGCCCAGGCTCACGTGGTCGATGGGCAGCGCCTTCTCCTGATGTTCCATGAACTCTGCTAGGTCCAGGATGCAGTGAATGATCTCGGTCGGTGCCGTCCCTGATTCGAGCGCGGCATCGAGACAGATGGCGAGCTCCTCCTGGTAGTTGTCGTATAGTTCCGTCCAACATGATAGAAAGGCGGCTGGGAAGAGCTCCTTCGCCAGCGGAGGATGTGTGTCAGCGAGACTCATGCAAGCCCTCAGCGCGTGCGATGGTGATTCTTTCATGAACTCCAATCGCACGCGTCTCATCCAGTCACTCCAATCCGTGGATCTGACTACCGACGAGATGTCCCACGCCTGCTTCAAGTGCATCTGGTTGACCGACAACTTGGTCGCCTCCGCCGGGGCTGACACATCTGGGACGTTGGAGCCTGCACTGGACCTGATCACATTGAGTCAGACACATGGTGGTGATAGCGATAGACATCGACGATGCTTACACACGCTCGAGGCTGTATTGAGAAAGTCGCTCGCCGTTGAGCAGTTTGGTGATCAGCGTCTCGTATCGAGGATGCGAAACTCTAGTTCGGGTCAGCAACTGAATGCCTGTCTGTCAGTCCTAAAATGTAGAGGGGAGGCACAAATTCCGCACAGAATTGATCATGGGCACAAAGACTGCGAAATCGGGGCCCAGCTGAACGACCAACGCGCAGAGAGCCTCCATGACACAAGCCCGAAGCTCGTTGTGGGACCCGTTAAGCACACGGGCCAATGGATGGACGATGCGAGACGCATGGTCAGAGAAGTTGACGTGTTTGGCCAATCCCTCAATAGTCTGGATGGCCCGTTTCCTGAGGACAGTCGGTGCATCGATGCGTTCGTATGTCTTGACGATAATGGGAATGATCAGATACAGATAATCCTCGAGGATGGACCCAAAGCTAAGCAAGGCATCGAAAATCTTGATCTGGGTCTGTGCGCGTCTGGTGCTGCCCTCGCCGTCGAAAGCACGCATGATGAGTGGTATGACGTGACTGAGCAGTGGCTTGAAATCTGCAGCCAGCGAATGGCTGAGTGACTCAATGAGCGAAATGAGGGGCAGCTGAAGAGACGTATTGTCCCATAGCTCTTTCACAAGCCCAAAGACGACCACCGTATAATTACGGATGTGCTGTTTGATGATCCCGACGAGGATCGCCAGCTGCTGCAGATGGAACTCCTGCAAGCGAACCGGCGACGCTCTAGTGACGGCAGCGAATGCCGGAATGACCTAGATAACAAAGGTAATCTCGGTAAGCAGCCCAGCTATCACCCAGCGGAGAAAGGGAGATACCCGGGGAAGGAAAGCCACACATTTCAGCCCTTGGGTCTTGAAAATGGACATGATCGCCTCAATGACGCTGTGGTAATAGTGGTTGAGAGACGGATCTTGCAGGATCCCCAGCAAGGCCCCCATTGCTACGGTCTGGAAGTAGTCGTCTGTGCCCGTCACAGCTTGTGTCGGCGCGATGGCGACTTGATTCACCGCGGTCATGGGGATCTCGCTTGCGTTGCCATCCACAGACTTGGCCTTGCGTTTGTACGGGTCCACCGCGCCGATGATGCCAAAGACCTTCACGACCTCTCTCTGCACAATGGGCGTCGTTTCAGTCCGCAAGATACGGCTTAGCAGTTCAAGCAGGTCGGGATGGTCTACGAAGGGGTCGATGACATAGGCCGTGCTGGAACAGACCTGACCCAAGGCATGCAGAGCCGCATCGCGCTTGACGCCAGATGGGTCAGACAGCTGCTTGATGATAACTTGCATGAGCTGCGGGACGTAGGGCAACGCTTCCTCCCCGGCGACGACACAGAGTTCCCCAAGACACATCATGATGCTTGCTGCCACAGTGGGATTCGCGTCGTCTGCCTTGAGCATCAATGCGGCCAGGATGGGCAGAGCATAAGGCCGGATGAAGTTATGCGTCAGTCCAACGAGCATTGTCAGAATCGAAGTGCAATCTTCCCGAGCACGTTTGTTCGTCGAGTACTCCAGTTCAGTCAAGAGCTGGATGAGGGTCTTTCGCAACGACGGGACGATGTACGCTGGATTGTCCCTAGAAAGGCGCTGGAACAAGTGGTCAATGACTTAGTTGATCACAAATGAGCTCGCTGTACTCCAATCAGATGAACCGCTGCGACACGGTTCTCGTAGACCTCATCGTTGAGAGCGATGAAGAGGGAGCGAATGTTCTCAGCTTGGGCCTGGACACATGTCAGCCTCACTGCGACAATATCGAGGTCTCGCGTACCAGATGCTTGTCGAAAGCGGGATGCAGCGAAGTCAGGACAACCTTTCGGATGGAGGCATCTAGCGCTTGCTGTCAGCGACAGTGAAGCGCACACAAACACACAAAAGACTGACCTGGATCAGCGATTCCGACTGTGAGAAGCTTATTCAAAACATCGCTGATGACCTGAATGGCGTGGCTACTCGATGAGTAGAAGATGGGGTCCCGAATAAACAGGCGGCAGCAGGTGATCGCAGCAGCACGCCGGATTTCCGGGTTATCTTGTTCGAGATAGGGCAAGGCACAGTTCCGAACAAACTCATTGAGGACGTGGCCTAGAAAGGACTTGAGCGATCGCAAACATTTCGTGACTTGAGACGGCAGGCACCACTAAAATCGAAAGATCCCAATGTAGTGAGGGCCAGTTTGATGGTTTCCGGATCTGTCTCTTCGCTGACGGTCGACTCGAGTGCCACAGGGGGCGACGCGTCATTCTCATGCTTAAGCTGTATGAAAGGATCAGGCGATCCCAGCGAGGTGTACTCTTTGCCGCTGAGGATAATGCATAGCATATTCAGCAGACGTTCTTCACGTGCCGTTAGCTCGGTACGCTCGCAAGACTGATCGGTCGCACTGACCTTGGACGGGCTTCAAGAATGGAGGAATATGAGTGACGATAGCGATCAAAGCATCCCGGAGAGTCTCACTAAGCCCGGAAGCAAACATAAGGTCAAAGATATCATGCAGCCACTTCGTCAGAGCTGGTCCAACAGCTGACGCAAGCATGCCAATGCACTGGAAAATCGGCCCTTCTGCTTCACTAGGCTTCTTCGCCCCTTGGAGGCTTTGCCTGAGAGACGGATCAGATAAGGAGGACGGGAAACAAATGCTCGAGCCTACTTGATGATCTTCATTGTCGAGTCCAGATACGGCTTGATGTAGCTTTTCACAGAGTGGGCAGTATGTCCGATGGCAATGAAGGCCAACGAGCGATCGCTGGGTTTCTCCAGGGAAAGAGAGAGGTGGACCATGACGACTCTGAGAAATCTCTCCGAGAAGGTCTGCGTGTCATAGGCCGCAAGAGATGGTATCAGTTGCAAAACGATTCGTCTAATAAGGATGTCCCGATGGGACTGGAATCGAAGAATCGCTTGCGCAGCTTGTGAATACACATCTCTCATGAACTAGATAAGAAACTTAGCGTCCAATAAAAAAGAGGAGATCGAGAGAATCACCATGCCACCATGTAATAGAAGTTCCTGGAGTGCCAACAGGGAAGCATGGTTGACTTCAACTGAAGCTTGCTGTAGCCCGGCTAGCGCGTCGTTATACACATTCTTCAAGTAAGGTACGGGACTCTTGCTGTGCAAATTGGGGCGATAGATATCGAGGCACGTCGCAAGCAGCTTCGCAGCCGCTTCACGCACGATCAGACGCTGATCCCTTAGCGGAATGAGTATGTTGTCGAACACCAAGCCGATGTGCGCATGGAAATATATTGGACTGTTGGCTGCGAGTTCTTTGAGGAGGAGAACACCCGCGAATCTTTGCGACTCCTGCTGGACCATGTTTATCACAGCGGGAACTTGATGGTCCATGAACGATTCGTTGAATGCGCCACCGGACGAAGGGACATGGTTACTTTGAGAAGCGGCCAACACGATCTTCCCGAGAGTTTGAGACGCGAGGAGCATGAGGGAGACGTCTGGATTGGGGAGGAGGTGCTTGACATAATTATAGAACCTGAATAGGTTCCGCTTTGAGTCCAAGGTTTCTTCAGCTTCAATGAGGAGAAGAGCATCTGGACAGCAAGGGATTCAGTAGAGTAGGGATTGGGAGCGAGAGGACGACGCACTCATGGCTACCAAGCCACCCAACTTCCACTCATTGTGGACGCTGTGTAACAGTTCGAACAGGCCTTGGTTAACAGAATCCCAGACTCTCCCGGCAGCATCTGGCGTCATTTCAGCCACAGTAGTCGATACCTTGTGCTGCTCAACAGAAACCATAGCCAGAAACGAATGGGACGAACATATGTGCAGAGCTCGTTCGCGTGTCGCTGCCGGACTTCTTCGCTCCTGGACTGGAGCCCACGAAAGATGGCCTCTAATGGGTCATGCTGATCTAAGTCTGACATCGGATTTCATGCAGTCGGACGCGTTTTGGGGCTTGAAGTCAAGACAAGCTTAGCAAAGCAGCATGACTTGCAGGCGGTGAGGCTTGCGGGAAGGAACCAAATTGATCGGATAGCATGATGGGCTTGGCTTTGTTGACGTCGCTGTGTAATGATTGTTCAACCTTGCCAGTGGTCGCTGTGTTCTAATCTGTACTATCTACATGATCCTTGTTTCCTCTCCTGCGTGGATCCTTCATCACTATAACGGCACATTGAACTTCCCTCGCATTCGAAAACACGCAGATTTCTCAGACTTTCGCTCTCTAAGCGACGTCTTCGAAGCGCTTGATTTTGCCTGGATCTTCTCTATCCGACCTTCACAACCCTCAACGGTTGCCGTGATAGTCTGATACTCTTTAAAGCCTAAAACTATGGATTCTTCTATGCCTCGCTCGCAATGGACACGTATTTCCCCGTACCAGTGCCGCCCCATCCTTCCGCACGTGGGAATCATCTACTCTGCATTCTCCCGACAGGCCCCGACTCCAATGCCAAGGCTTCGAGTCATTCTGGAACGTGCTACTGCTTTCCCGACTGCCAGCTAGGCTAAGGTAAGCCTGGGTACCAGAGTGTCGCCAAGTTCACTCATGACCATCATTGGGTCGGCCATGGGATATCTTCCGGATACAAGCAGAGAGACGGTCCCTGCTATTACTTTCACCCGCGTTTTCAGACGAATGGAGTTGTCCCCTTGTCAAATGCGACATTATGAATCCGGCCTGAAGTCCACTGCCTTTCGTACTGAGTACTGAGTACCAGCCCACACAGACCGGTAGTCAGCGGTGATGTCATATGTAATCATTGGGCTCAGTCACTACTATGTACATCATTGCCTCCTGCTGTGGACCAGATTTTCTGCGAGAGAATGTCCGAATGCTGACATATAGGCGATTGTGATTGCGGAGTAGGATGCGGGCGGCGGGTAACAGCGGGAAACGTTGTCTGCTCTTACAATCATTTAGTTATTTCCGCGTCACGTGTACGAACATAGCGATTTACTTCCGTCGGCGCAGCAATCGGCGTTACGGTTTATGATCACTGATCCGAGTCAATCTGATTCAGTGCGCCTTCGGTTCTAGCGACCACCTCGTGCTTTACTCCTCTCTAATCACACTTTGATGTAACTTGGACAGTCCCATCCCCTTTCCGTATATCCCTCCTTCTATTCCACAACGTCTCCTCCACCGACGTACCAGTTAGGCTCGGACTTGTCATGCAGCCACGGCGGCAGACGCGTGCCTCATCGGAGGCCATTTCGGCCTGCACTGCTATGGTATCCACAGTGTATGTCTCACGTTACTCACTCATTCTTGACTGTGAAGTGTTAAACTTCCCTCAAAGAAAGTTGGAAGCCATTCTGAAGAAAGCGTCTATCCAGGCCACGAATTACGAGCAGCAGATGAAAGACTTGGAGGTACGTCGCGTTCTTTAACTCCGAGCTTTCCACGAAATTGTTTATTGTACAGCAAAGACTGGCCGATAGCCTGAAGAACTTTCGGAACATCGACTGCCAACTTCAGAGCGCGTTCGCCACCCTGCGTGTAGGTCGAAGTGTATGAGATCCAGCTTGCTTCTTACTCTGGCGGGGATAGCATAATGCAAATCAAGCAGACCAAGCTCTTGGCAAGCAAGTGCCGTCAATTGCCCACAATCTCGACTCCTCGATCGAGTCTCTGGACCTATTGGCTCACGATCTGCCAACTATACGATCTCAGGTGACGGACATTCGGACCGTGTATGATTCTGGGCGTAATAAGGTGCGCCGTGTTCGATGTAAAAAGTGTGTTCCCCCAGGTCTCAATCTTCTCGCAGGCACAGAGTCTAGTGAAGGACCTTACTTGGCTCAACACCGAGTTTTATGAGAGATGGAGATTGATCATCTTCACTTCGACAAGTCCTGTGTCCTGGCGATGGAGGGCTTTCATGCGCATGTTTTTCGCTGCCTCATTCATAACCTCTGCTTGGTTGACTTTCATCGCCATCTCGGGTTTGGTCAGGGCGCATCGAGGGGGTATCATATGGGGAGAACGCCTCATGTCGTAGCAGCATAGACTCTCTTGCTTTTCTTGTACATGGTTATCCATTCGCCGAACTTGTATCATTAGTTCTCAGTCCCAGTCGTTCACTTGTCGTGAAGCATATGCTGCTTTCCCGAACTTGGTGCTTAGCGAACCCCATCAATTCATCATCGGCCACCTTTTCGGCCCTTTCATCCGACCCACTGCGGCCAAACCCACCGCATGATGGACAACTTCGATGACCTCTTGAGCGCATCCCAGAGAGACCTGGAGAGCAATCCTTTTGCAGATCCCTTCGCCAAGCGAAGCTCGTCTCCGGATCCCTGGAGCTCTCCCTTTGCTCGCCAGGAAGCGAGTTCGGACGTATTCGACTATCAGCCTCGACCTGCAACCCCTCCACTCGAGGAAGAAGCCTCCCCCGCTGTAGTATCCCAGCACGAGGAAGAAGACGAGCCTTCGGCCACTGCTGTCGTAGCACATGATCCTATACCTGAGGCCGACCCGTTGGGCGAAGCGCGCTCCCCCGGCTTCAAGGAGAGCGTGCCAGACCCTGAACCCGACCCTACGTTCTCAGAAATTGCCACGATCCGCCCCACCGAGCCAGAAGAGTCGCACTTCTCTCCGGTGCTCATCCGAGCAGTCACGCCGCCTCCGGCCACTCCACCACCGGCCACGCGTCTGGCAGACAGCGTACCGACATTCCGTTCTCCATCGCCGGACCGCTGGGGTGCTCCCAACCGCCCATTGACACGGTCATATCCGGGTCTGACATCGGGGGTCGAGGGTGCGGATCCTGGTTGGGGCGAACAGGACGGCTGGAGCAACGGACATTCGCCTGCATCGCGCCTACCGACGGAAGACGACAGCGACGATGACAAGCCTGTATTGCAAACTCTGCGCGGACAGCAGCAACGAGAGCGTGAAGATCCTTCTGCTGTGGGTCTCCAGCGTGCACTCTTTTAATTATGATAACATGAATGGCTAGCAGTCTGGCGCTCAGCCGGTGTTTTTCATCACAGTCGATGATCCACAGAAAGTTGGCGATCCGATACGCTCTTTCACGATGTACACTGTCCACACTCGGGTGCGTCTTCCCAATATCCCTGGCTTGCATGCTTCTCAATGATTCACCCAGACCACTTCACCACTCTTTCCCAAGTCTGCGTTCTCTGTTTTGCGGCGTTATTCAGACTTTCTTTGGCTGTACGAGACACTCTCGAACAATAACCCGGGTGTGGTAGTTCCTCCAGTCCCGGAGAAGAACCCGTTTGGACGATTTGAAGACCATTTTGTGCGCCAACGGAGGCTCGCACTTGAGAAGTGTATCACGAAGATAGCCAACCACCCTGTGTTGGGCAAGGACCCTGATCTGAAGCTATTCCTTGAGAGCGACACTTTTACGCTTGATGTAAGCATTCCAGGCATTCGCTTGCAGTGATCTGACGTGTCTCCCAGATCAAACATCGAAAGGCCGAAATCGCACAAGAAAAGGGTGGGCTCATGGCAAGCATCGGGCAGAGTCTCACTGGACAGAGATTCTTCGAGACAGATGAAGTGCGTGGTGTGAATGGCTCGGTTGAACAGTATCTGATGTCGTCTCAGTGGTTTGATCGCCAGAAAGCTTATCTGGATTCGCTGGAAAGTCAGCTTCGGGGGCTGGTCAAAGCGATCGAAGCAGTGTCGAAGCAACGCTCCGAACTCGCTGGCGCAACCGGCGACTTTGCTCAGAACGTGGCCGATCTCTCGGCCTCGGACGTGGGGCAGCAACTTGCGTCCTCCCTTGCTGGTTTAGCCGAGGTTGAACGTAAGGCTCAAGATCTGCAAGTGATCCAGTCCCAGCAAGATATCGAAACGTTCTTCAGCACGGGTCCGTTCACCCTATCTATCTGCTGCGTGTTTCTAGAATCTCACGACTGCTCGCAGTGGACGAATATGCTCGTCTGATCAACTCAGTTCGGGCACGTGCTTATCTTCAAACTTGTGCAGTGCTGTTCATTGACCTCGTGATTCCAGCATGCATTCAATACACGCATCCAGTCCTATCACACCTGGCGTGCTGCTGAAGCAGAGCTTGCGCGGACCAAACAAACTCACGACAAGAATCGGGCCCAGGGTCGTATTCCTACTGATCGGGTGGGATATTCTTTGACTCAAGTTACCGAGGTTCGTAATTCTCGACAGCCGGCGCGTCACATGGCCTCACACATCTTGCTCAGTCCGAACGTCGGGCATTAGATGCTAAACATCATTTTGATCAAGCCACCAAACTTGTCAAAGCAGAAGTGGCTAGATTTGAGCGCGAAAGAGTCGAAGATTTCAAGAACTCGTTGCACGCGTTCCTTGAAGGAATGATCTCCAGGCAGAAAGAGGTTTGCAACTGGTCCGTTCGAATGCTGTCATTAGCACTGACTGTCATCGTCATTCAGCTTATCATGAGCTGGGAGAGTTATCAGCAGACCTTGCTAAAGCGTGTCGGCGGCGGGCGTGGCCTGCCACCGGCTGGACAACGAGCTGTCCCCGCTGCTTAGATTTGTTAGCTTCTCAGGCTCTGTAATCTCATCTGCGAAATTCTATGGTTCTTCGTCTTCGCGTTCTCATTGCATGTGTCGATCTCACTCGGATCATTCTCTGCACTGATGTTTTGTCTGTATATAAGTAGGTAGTCGATGCATCCATATGCATACATCCGGGCAAACCATTCTGGCTCAACCATTCAGCCTACGGTTACCTACCCCAGCTGACAGGACGATTCTCAATTAAGATAGTATAAATCCCACCACAAGAACCGGCAATGGTCATCCCGGTTTCCTTTCTACAGCCATGCCTTCCGTCCTGACTAGCTCAAAGCACACTTTCACGTTCAACCGCGCAGACCACGTCGGTTCATTTCTGCGTCCCAGCACCATCCACCAATCCCGCAAGAGTTTCAAGGAGGGTACGCTCGATGCCGAAGGGTTGCGCGTAGTAGAAGACAGAGAGATTGCGGCCTTGGTCGAGCAGGAGCGGGCGGTGGGTATCAAGAGCATATCTGATGGAGAGTTCAGGTGAGACGGGCCGGACGGACCGCTCTCGAACAGAACGCTGATCTCTGCGACGACGGCAGACGTGAATATTTCCACCTCGGTTCGTCCCTTGTCAACCCTACATTACACCGTCTCATATCTGGCTTCGCTCATCAGATTTCGTTGAGCATATCGAAGGTGGGTCGAACGCCTCCTGATCGGCAATGTGCTGAGCCCTGGAGTCTAGGCATTAAGATAACCAGGAACACGCTCGTCGGAGAGAAGAACGAGGCTACCGTGCCGACCATCTCCGTCACCGGAAAACTCCGCCATGTGAAGCCAATCCAGCTCGCCGATTGTCAGCGCCACTCTTTCGACAATTTGGCATGGTGGCCCACTGACGGATACCTGCAGTCAAATTCCTCCAGGAACGGGTGGATGGGAGCAAGGGCGAGGTGGTCAAGGTGGCTATTCCCTCCCCGACCATGGTTAGTGCAGCAGCAGCAGCAGCATTGAGACAGAGTGCTGGTTCAATCATGGTGTCTAGGTTCACTTCCGCGGTGGTCGCTCCTCCATTGACCTCGCTGCATACCCCGATTTGGACGAATTCTTTGAAGATCTCGCAGAGGTCTACAGGCAGGAGATCAAGATCCTTGCGGAGGCGGGCTGCAAGTATCTCCAAGTACAGTGCCCCAATGCTCCTAGACCATTCTCATCGGTCTTACACACCCATTATAGCTTGACGATACCAATTTGGCTTATCTATGGTGGGAGGAGCTGCAGTCGTTATCCCGCCCGATGCTCATCGTCGCGCCTGTTAGTGATCTCAATATGCGGGAGGCGGCAGCTGGCCGCGGAGAGGACCTGAACACCCTTCCGAGGCAATACGCCCAGCTGATCAATGCAGCGTTACGGGACCGACCTGCTGGGATGACCGTCGGTAATAAATCGAGCCCGAGCTGGTCGAATATCCTGTCGAGCTCATTCTTCTTAAGGAATCCATCTCTGTCGAGGCAATTTCCGGAGTAGGCACTTTGCGGAAGGTGCATGGCGGCTAGTATTCATCTTCGTTCTGCAGGACTTACATCTGCTTTAAGGTGGCTACGAGCCGATTGCGCAAGTCTTGTTCGAAATGCTCGATGTCGATGTCTACTTCTTGGAATGCAAGTCGTTCTCTCAGACCAACTTGCACAGATCCTGATCATCTCACAGTCGACAACGAACGATCTGGTTCCTTTGAACGTGAGGACTGGCACGGCGCATTTGTCGTTATCTGTTCTGAATCCATTCTTCGTAGCTCTTCGCTTCTTGCCCAAGGGAGAGAAGATTGTCGTTCTGGGTCTCATCAGCTCCAAGATCCCCCAACTGGAGGACAAGGAGGCTATTAAAGCTCGCATCGCCGAGGCCAGCAAATTCGCGCCCTTGAATCAACTGGCCCTTTCGCCGCAGTGTGGATTCTCGAGCACAGTTCACGGCAACGAGGTTTGTGGTTCGCAATGTTGCGACACGGAATTCACGGTTCTGCTTAGATCACAATTGAGGACCAGTGGGCCAAGATGAAGCTTGTGCATGAGATCGCGCAGGACATCTGGGGTAGCGACATGTGATTACTTGTACTTATTTATGGTGTGCTGCTACTCGTACTTGGCCACCTTGCTCTCGTTACCCACATCCTGCAAGTCTTGAGGACGTTCTCGTTTTACAGGCCGCCGTCTATTGCTGATGGGTTGCTGCTGATACGAGCCCTGTCCTTGATGTGCAAATCCATTGTTGGTCCAGCCCATGCCGGGAAAATTGGATGTCATCCCGGCCATTAGACTATGCAACTGTTGGGGTGTAAGGCCTGTCATAGCAATCGCAGTCGCCATTTCTTGCGCTTGCGCCAACTGGATCTGAAGCTGTTGGCACTGCAGTTCCGTATTTTGGCGGACCGCATTTGGCAGCGCTGGGTTCTGCAGCATGGCGGAGATCTGTGCGATTTGAGCCTGCAGTTGGGGGATGCTGTCCGTTATCATTTTTGCCATGTCCATATTCTCTTCGGCATAGACCTCTTCTTCCTTCGGCGCATCCTTGAATACCAGTTACAACAAGGCACCACATGAAGACAGTGCTCTCACCGAGGGACCGGCTTCCTCCGTTAGTCCTTCCGTTTTGCTCTTCTCGATGGCGTTCTCAATGTAATCAGTGACTTTTATTCGCATCGGCTTGTCCGCGATAAGTTGGTCCAGAGATGGAATTTTCTTTGCACAATTGGGGCATACGAAATCACGTTCAAGGAGATGCGTCTGGATGCACTCTTCGCAGTAGTTTGTTCCGCAACAAGGAGTCTTGACTGCATCTCGAAACAACTTGTTGTCTATGGGGCACGCCAGAGACGCATCTGTTGGTTGCTTTTCCCGCACATCCGCGACGGTAAGTGTTTTGGCGCGGGAGACCTGCTTTTGCCAGGATGCACTGATTCGTGACTGAGCAATCAAGCCGAGGGGAATCAGGCATGGCTAGTACGCACGAGTCTGGCTGAGCAACTACATATCCACCATCCGGAGTTACCATGACACCCTGTCCCAGCTCTGCTACGTTGGGATTCTCGACGGCCTTGAGCATGCTGCGCGGGATACCGGTCGTTCGCTTGATGCGGGGCCGATTGTCGAACTCGCGGTCACTATTGGTCGGACAGTCTTGGATCCAGTGTCCTTGTCGAGTGACTTGCTGAGATGATACGTGTCGAAAAAAGAAGTGTGCTCACCTTTCTTGCCACAACGATAACAAACGTAACTCGGCGGTAAAGGTCGGTCGTTTGGTGGAGGTGCCTGATGTGGTGAAAATGGTTTTCCACCCCGAGAGAAACCGCTGCCCCGAGTGCTGCTCCCATTATATATCCGGGGTGCTCTGAGAAGCATTCATTTAGTGCGTTGAATATGGGCAGAGAGGGCAACGGACTGTGACATCTTCTCCTGTGCTTCTTCCCAGGCGCTCTGCTGTGTAGCAAACATGGCTGAGATAGCGGACGCTTCGTCGTCTTCGCCATCGACCGGTGCCTACGACAGTGTTCACACGTGAGAGAAAGAACGTATAGATGCAACGCACTGCCACAGGCTTAGGAGCTGGGGCCGGGACTGGCTCCTCCTTTCCGTCGAACCGTCTCGACATGGCGCCTTTATGCCAGGAATTCGAGGGACCCGCTCCACCACGTTGAACAGTTTCGGAAGTTGAGACAGAATTACTAGCGCCTGCGATGTATATTGAGGCTTTGCCCTTGCCGGGACGCGCGGCAGGCCGTCGCTTCACAATGACTGAAGAGGACCGCGGTATGATTTCCGAATCGTCCGCATACTCTGAGGAAACCGAATGTCAGCAGATGTAACATGTCGACGCCTGAGCGCACCTTTGTTCGTACTGCGGTCGTAGATGAACAGGTCGAAATCATTCGCCTTACCCATGTTGTTGGCTAGGATGATATCGCGTTTAAGGTCAAAGACAGATATTCCAGTACCATCGAAGGTCACTCGAGACTCGTCTTTTCTGGAATTGAATTTGTAAAACACGGAAGAAGCCATAATATTGATCAGAGTTTAGTATACAAGAACAAAACCCAGTGAAGCAGGAGGAATGTGGGTGTGGTGAGCCAGCAATCAAGGTGGTGGATGGAAGAATGGATGGAAGACAAGGCTAACGGCCGGATCCGATCTGATCCTAGGCTGACAAATTTACGGATAACGTGAAAGTCAATCTACTTTACACCCGTCACCTGGGTATCCAGCCATTCCCACAATTGACGAGAAGCTTCTAGATCTTGGGTGCCAGGGTGTGGTTTTCCAATCCGAGCCCAAGGAATCAGATACTCGAAAGAAGGATCAGTATCTCACTCGGTTGGCATGATGTAAGAGAGGACCCATCTACAAACCTTGCCATTGAAACCTTTCCCAGCTGCGCTGGTCCCAGCATAAAGTTGGGTCAGTGCACCGTGCGAAACATCGTGCAGCACAGTTCTCTCCATGAGAGACTAGGGAAATCTGATGACTTGGGCTGCGATCGAGACTGCTGGGTACGCACGATCACCGCACCGAGGGCACCCTTCATATGCCTGTGGAGGTCGGTCTTGATGATCCCGGGGTGCAGAGAAGTGACAACAAGGCCCTGGTCACCGTATCGTCGAGCCAGCTCGGCAGAGTACATGATGAGAGACTAGAACAATGTAAGCCAAGGTCCCAACGAGATGAAAGCACATGCGAATTTGCTCAGCGCATAGAGCGGCTGAGTGCCGGCTTTTTGCCTCTTATTGTCATCCAGAACGTCTTTGAAACTAAGCTTGTTTGTGACATGCATCCCGCTCGACGTATTCACCACCCGAGCTTTATCATCAAAGCTGGATTTCGCGCCAGCCAATAGTGCCGGTAAAAGCAGTTTGGTGAGAAAATATGGCCCTACCTCTGGGTGAGAATCGAAATTATAAGCGGCATGCCATGTACCTAGCACATTGGTCCCGAACTATCGAAAATGAATCGGAATCCTCGCGTCAGGCATCAGGAAGCTCACCTGTAGGTCGTATCCATCCTTTGTGCGCTCGTCAATGGGAGGCATCATAACACCTGGGACAACATTCAGTGCGGTGAAATTCTACTTGAGCAGAATAATGACCGGCATTGTTGAAGAGAATATGAAGATCGGTTTCTTTCCTGTCACATGCATGAGGGGAGTCAAAGAGCAGGCTTAATCGATTCCATTACGACAAAAAATCGGCTGCAGTTTCCTTGATGGTCTTAAGGTCGCCAAGATCGAGTTTGAGAAACACAGCCGCTTTGCCAGTCTCTTCCTTCAACTCCTTGATTGCAGCATCTGCTTTCTCTTGGCTCCGCGCTGCCATGTAGACCTTGGCATTGTGTGCCAATAAGACCTCGAGAGCGGGTAAGAGATGTGATTCCTTTCGAGATTCGGACTGAGAAAGTCACCCGGACGGTTTCCTTCCCAATTCCTTCAGGGAACATGTGAGAAGTGTAGAGGGCATGAAATAGACCTGCGGCTCTACCTGAATTTCCTCCTGTCACGATACAGACTTTACCCGACAAGTCTGGAACATCCTTCTCGGTGAACTTGGTCCTTGGAGGGAAGCTTTGAGCTAGAATATCGAGAGAGGACATTTGGTTAGAGGACAGGCGTGGCAGTCAAGATCGTCGCATTCACATGCACTTACTACGTCGGCATCATCCCAAGCCAAGTTCGTGTCAGTTTCATGATTCAGCTCAATGACAGTCAGTGACACAAACGCGTCTCGTCACGCTTGACATGCGCCGTGACCATGAATGACACCTGTCCTTGAGCCTCAATGTGACCCTGCGTCCTAACGGTTCAACTTTCAACTTCGATTCGGCTTCAAGGCTCGAGGCGAAGCTCGCGTATTCTTGTGAGGCATTTCGGGTAATGGCCACCCGGCGAATGTCCCAGTCGCTGTGCTTGATCGCCATCATGTCGGAGCCTCATGGGGAGATGTCCGAGTCGTAAATAACACCACACCCTCGATCGTTCGACGACCTCCAAGACCATGGGGTCAGCCATCTCTCGTCTCAGACTAGTTTGGAAAACGCTGCGCTCGATTTCGGCCTCGTACGATGTACTTGAACGACGTATTGCGACATCTCCTGGCATCCCATCACCAAATCCATCGATATCTTACTGGGAAGTCCCGCCAGCCCCTATAGCAAAGCATGGATCCTCTTCAGCTCTTCCAGAATATGCGGATATTGTGGTCATTGGGAGTGGCATAACAGGCACCGCTTTTTCGCGGACCACCTTGAATATTTTGGAAAAGGACATGCAACCGACGATCGTGATGCTGGAGGCAAGAGACGCATGCTCTGGCGCAACTGGAAGGTGAACCACTCAATCTTCGATCTTCTAATCGATTCTACGATGCGTGCAAGGAATGGAGGGCATGTGACACCGGTCCTGTTCCACGATTACCCAGCCTTGAAATCCGCCCACGGAGCGGCAAATGCTCAGGCTATATTACGATTCAGGCTAGCCCACCTCCCTGAGCTGCTTGCTGTGGCCCAAGAAACCGGTCTCGCGGATTGCCAGTGCCGGGAGGTCGAGACGTTCGATGTGTTCTTCGAGCAGGAGACCTTCGACGTCGCCAAGGAGAATCTTGAGCATTATTTGCGAGACATGCCAGACCAGCGGTCAAATTGGCGCCTAGTAAATGCCGAGGACTGTGTGAAGGTAACCATCATGCTACATCTCCTGAGTCGAGCTCACACAGCGCTAGGATCTACAACTATCCCGCCAGGCAGTTGGAGCCATTGGAACGGTTGGAGGAGCCATTCATCCCTATCGTTTTGTGGCGGGAATTCTTTCCAGCCTACTGGAGTCCTTCCCGGACCAGTGCGTCTCGACGTTCCATGCTCTAGACCTCCAGCTGACGAGATGATACTGAGGTTTCGGCTGCTCACTCACACGCCGTGCTTATCAATATCGTCTGACGAGGATTTCTACACAATCACGACGAACAAGGGTCAGATTCGAGCTCGTCATGTTGTTCACGCGACAAACGGATGGGTCTCGCATCTGCTGGCACCTATGCGAGGGAAAATTGTCCCTGTCCGAGGCCACATGAGTTCCCAACGACCAGGACTAGGCCTGGGCCACAATTCAGTGCCCGATGGCGATTCGGAGTCAATGGCCACCCTAGCGGAAGCTCGAAACCCGTGGGCTGGCCAACGCTCATTCGTGATGTACGCTGGTGGAGGTTACGACTACCTCACACAGCAACCGGTCGAATTAATTACCGCATCGTCGGAATATCCGGCACCAGCTGGGGAGATGATGTTTGGAGGCGGGGCGAGCCACGGCGAGATTCTGGACCAGGCTCTGATGAATGAAGTTGGTGTGAGTGACGACACAGACTGGAATACGGGGAATGCCGCTCATCTCAGCGGAGCCTTGAGCGTCTACTTCGATGGATGGGGCGCTGAGGGACGAGGCACGGACGACAAGGACACACAGTTTGGCGCGGGAAGAGTCAAGAAACTCTGGTCCGGCATTCTGGGGATATCAGCTGATGGCATTCCATGGGTGGGTCGGATTTCTCCAAGAATAAGTGCTCGGTCAGAGCCAAAGTCAAGTGGTTCTTCGAGACTGGCGACTCCCGGAGAGTGGATTGCTGCCGGTTACACCGGGGAAGGGATGGTGCATGCATATCTTTCTGCCAAAGCTCTCGCCCATATGGTCCTAGCGACCGATGAAGCCTCGCTGCCTGCGGCATTTCTTGTCAGCGAGAAGCGATGGAGGAATGCTCGCATGGAGAACTTGGTGAATTGAAAGGAGATGACGTCAGCGGAATGATCCGCGATAGTTTTGTTAGCCGCAGTTCCTTGTCTTCAACTCTTTACTCGTTCGCTATCCGACGCATTTACATATACCAACCATGGCTCCCGTCGAGATGGAATACTACGATCTAGTCTGTCACCCGTGCCCAAGTCAAGCGCACACAAGGCTGATACGCTATTCAAGCTGGATGTGCCAGTAGATGCGGATGACAACACTCTCAAGAAGGCGTACAGGCGGCAAGCTATGAAGGCGAGTTCTTCGGATGAAAAGAGGTGATTTCATCTCAACGTGCACTAGTACCATCCCGACAAGAATAAGTCTGAGGGTGCGGAAGAGATGGTGCGTTATTGTGGGCCATCTCACATTCCTTGTTCAATTGATCAATCTCCGCACAGTTCAAGGAAATAAGGCCAGTTCAGAGAAGTTTTAAACAGCATGATTTGGAATGTTGACACTCTCAAAGTAAAGCGTATCAAGTCTTATCCGACCCGGTGAGCCCTGCTGTTTCCGTGGTCGTTGATGTTGCAACTCACTCGAGATCAAAGAACTTGCGTACTGTGTACGATAAGAATGGGAAGTCGATGGTGGACAAGGAAGGCGGGGTTAACATGGAAGACGCGGCTGGATTCTTTGCCAATGTTTTCGGAGGGGAACGATTCGCCGACTACGTGCGTACTAAATCCATCAATCCATTTCTAGACCGAGGTGGCCCACCTTTCCCAGATTGGCGAAATCTCCATCATGAAAGACATGACTGCGACCGCGACGACTATGATGACTGAGGAGGAAAAGGTCGAGATGGAGAAGGCTATGAACGAGGGGAGCTCTACTCCCATCGGCGAAGCCGCTCGATCCACGTTGTCCTCGGGTTCTGCGACACCAGTCCGATCTACACCGACCACTCCCTCAGCATCCAACGAAACATCGCCGTCCAGCCTTACCGTGCATTCTGAGGCAGAGTCGCCGCTACCGCCGTCGAAGGAATCCAAAGACAAGAAGCGTTCCAAGATTACCCCGGAACAGAAACAGAAGCTGCGTGATCAGGAGACAGAGCGGCAGCGGGTGATGGAGGAACGTGTAACCTCATTGACGACGAAGATGATCGAGAGGCTACGACCCTTCGTGGAGGCTAAGCATCCAGGTGAAAAAGACGACCCCGAAACGAAGGCCTTCGAGGAAAAGATGAGGCGAGAGGCCGAGGATCTGAAGTTGGAGAGTTTTGGCGTCGAAGTGCGTGAGAGTGCCCGATCGCTTGCTTTTGTGGCTGATGTCCTTCTAGTTGCTTCACGCTATCGGTGGCGTCTACATGATGAAAGCAACGTCATTCATGAAGTCGAAGAAGTTCCTCGGCATGTGGGTGTCGTCTGAGCGTTTGATATCAGCCCAATGACATTCTTCAGCCCCGGCTTTTTCTCGCGTCTAAAGGAGAAGAGCGACCTTGTGAAGGATGTGTTCGGAGTCATTGGAAGCGCTCTCAGTGTTCGAGATCTCATGCTGGTGTGTTCCGAACTGTCGCCTCCCACTCGCGATCGACTAAGCCACTTTAGGAAATGGAGAGGCAGCAAACCAAAGGAGAACTCGGCGAGGAGGAACTTCGGGCTTTGGAAATGGACGTCACGGGGAAGGTAGGGTTAGCAGTTTTATGCTGCGGCAAAATGCTAAAAAAATAGCTGCACAGATCATGCTTGCCTCATGGCGTGGTGCTCGATTGGAGGTTGTGCAGGTTTTGCGGGCTGTGAGGCTCCGAGGATGATCTGATTGGGCAGTACTGATTTCCATCCAGGTTGTCGATAACGTGCTCAAAGATCCAGGAGTATCGGATCTGGTGCTGCTGAACCGCGCCAAGGTCTGTCCTCGGGGGTGTACGATTCTCCTTCTTTCTGACGGGGCTCCTTATGCAGGGTCTTCTCATCACCGGTGCCATCTTCAAGTCCACGGCTCCCGACGAAACCGATGCAGAACGTCGGGAACTTGAGAGGTGCGTCGTGGCATGTCCGAATTTCTCATATCTGAAATCTAGCCCAGAATGGTTGCAGAAGCGGCTGCACCAAAGGGGAAGTCGTCAGCCAAAACTGCACACGCAAAACGGGAGCAAATGCTCCGACAACATGCAGCAGAAGCCGAGAAGGTCAAGACTGGGCAGAATGATATTTAATGGATTTTCCTTGGGGATGTTTGTGTGAACTAGACTATCTTAATGCTCATGTCACGCGGAAAATGATGCTTTGACCTGTTGCGACATGAATCGAGCCATGAAGAAAGAGATCTACACGCACTTGTTTGAAAAACTCGTCATCGCGAAGAGCACGCAGTGCCGTGCATGCAAGGCCCTTGGCGATGTACATCGCGGCTGTATGTGCTTCTTGCGTGGCAGCCGCATTTGCGAATGCGATCGTGTGGTTTCCGCCTCCAGGTTGGGTCGGAATGGCTGGTAAAGTGAGCGATGAGGTCAGAAGCAAGGAGAAGGACAGACCAAACACTGGATGAATTCCAGGCAACGCTGCATGCGAAGTGAGCCAGAATCACTTGCAGTCAAAAGTATTACCATATGTTACGTTCCCCTAAATCCAAGTCAACAACGTGGATTACGTCTTTTGAAGGCGACTTACAAAGTCAGTGGAACCAGTTCCTGGCGTGGTCGAGGTCTCAATCCCGTAACGTTTCGCCACGACGTCGGCGAATTCCTGGCCTACGGGAATCAGTCGAGAGCGGAAATTCAGGATGAGAGAGATCACCGAGAATAGGATTCTGCTTCAGATCAAGATGCGGATCCGCCAGCGTCAATTTGAATTCGCAGCCGGTGGCCATCGCTGCTGCTCTGTTGAGGGGGATCAGAACTCAATCCATGAATGAAAAGACGGTCAATCACTTCAAGCAATTGGTGACACGCTCCACGAAGGCTGCGAGATCCACGTCGGTGGGCGCTCGAGCGAGCCAATTCATTTTGGCATAATCAGGAATCACATTGGGCAACCAGTTGTCGTTTCCCGTAATGACACCGTGAACACGATGATCAGGTCGCATTTGCTGGCGGAGTGCGGAAATGTTGGAGTAGGCTAGAAACGCAGCATCTAGTGCGTTGACGCCGTCCCTTCGGAAGAAGTAAGCGTCTAGTGGCTGATTCCCTCCGAACAAGAATCACCAAGGAGCTGCACCAGCATGCGCGCTGAGAAGTTCAATCACCAGCCACGGAAAACTCGGCTATAGCCTACTTTTGCCCGAAATATTCGACCTGGATCACTTGCACCCCAATCGACGGACCGAGGTCGGCCGACTTGATAGGACCTCCGCTGGGATGACACATCACACAAAGATCCATTTCCTTGTACCCGCCTCTCTCTAAGAGAATGATTTTTCCTCCTCCACCCTCCTCGGCTACAGCACATCATCATCAGAAGCGAGACGATGCCAAAAAAAGTTGCCAGCCTACCTGGGGTACCGAGCAGGATCACTTTCCCCGGTATGTTATGAGCCTGCAATGCCTTTTTGAGCGCAATAGCGACTGCGCAGCCGCTTACGGCTATCAGGTTGTGGCCACATGCATGTCCTGCACAAGCGTCGAGAGGGGCAGCCGGAAACAGCAAGTAACTGACCGATGCCCGCTAGCGCGTCGTATTCTAGGCCAACTTGAGACTTAAGAGCAGGCACAGCGCGGGTGGGGACAAACCACTGTTGACACCTATCACTCGTCCTCCGGAACCGTGCTGGAATTCGGCTCTGAATGCGGTTTTGAGCCCGAGATAGCTCCGGGTCACCGCGAAGCCCTGGGAGGCCATAAAGGAAGTCAAGTGTTCATGCGCGAATCTGGGGCTGATTAGCACGGGTGCGCGCGGAAAGTGATGGCACGAACTCTTCCTCAAATGCGACCTCAGGATGATCTGTATTGGGAAGATGTATGCATCACCGAAGATGACCGCCTTACGTACCGTGAATTTGCAGGCTGAGTTCATGCAATTGGGGTGATATTTCGTCGATGCTTTGGTCAACTGTGGCGTGCGCGTCGCCTTTTAAGTCGATTCGCGAGGAGTAAGGCGGCAGTGGATCACCCTCCAGCCACCATTCAGCCGGATCAGTATATCCATGTTCGCAGCCCGTGAGGCAGCAATGCTGGAGTCCATTCAGAAACAGAAGGGTGATACCAGAAGCACACATGCCTGGTTTGCTTTAGCTTGGAAGTGCTTTTCCTCGGGCTGCGCGCGTTGTGCTGCACTGGGTCTTGACTTTGGGAGACGGATTTTGCCTAAAAGTGCGCCGAAACACCCAGCTTGTCCGTCGCTCATGGCCGATAAGAGATAGAGCGGATGCCGTGACTCATCAATGCAGCCCGGCTCTCGCAAAGTTCTCAATCTTCTGATGCCACAGTACTGGGGTACTTAGGGGACATCCATTCCCCGCCAACGTCACGTGACGATTCCATATCGGGTTAATGAAGAGTAACGAGGGCTCAAATAATAAGTATCCCCAGTGAGGCTTACCCCGTCCATGAATTTGGTCATAATGCAGCATAAAATGAATCTAGCCACTCAGAATGTGATTTATCTATTAGAGTATATTAGCTCCAGTAGAAAACACCTTTCAAATGACTTTCCTATGGAGGCCCAGAAGGCCCTAGTGGGCGCTGTTTATAGAGATTTCCGACCCTCGGGCCTGTTTAAAACATTGCCGGCCAAAATTTCCGGTTTATAAACCGGTTTTTAATTAATTTTGGTAAATAATTAGAATATGAGGCTAGAAGCACCCCAGACAGTTTCAAAGTGTTTCCTTTTGCTTTTTCACAAGATTCAGCACCGTCCAACTGACCGTTCCACTCTCTAATGCTGCAAACATCATCTGCGCCATCTAGGGGTGCATCACTGAGCATGTCACCCCTGGACTTGATCCAAACCACCACCCAATTTCTGTTGGCATCATGCCACGCATCAAACAAGACCTTCAAATCACAGTTAAAAACACACTTGACACTGCCAGTGTTCTTGATGTGGTCAGGATCAGGGATGTAGTTGGCAAAGTCATGGTCCATGCTCTTGTTGAACAAAAGCTTCTTGGGTAGCTGATACAGGTGCTTCAGCTGCTTGTCATAGTAGGCAGCACTGCCAGGTGCGCCAATGGCCTTTGACCGCGCCATGGTGTATAGAAAAGATGTGACAGATTGACCTCACAGTCACAATTTGTTAGTAGGTACTTTGATTATAAACAGGCTGTTTACTGTCAGGCAATTAAAAACATGTTTATAAACACCTGTTTATAAATGTGTTTATAAACATCAATTGTAAACAGCACCCTAGGCCGCCGCCGCCCTACTCAGAACCAAGACAGTTGACGTTGATGACAGATGATGTCATGTAGGACCTTGGCGTTATGTCCATTGCCTGAGCTGGTGTTGTTGGCAGATCATAATTGATCTGCCAATCAGTTCTGCCAGCCCGGCAATGCCTGGAATTGGCAGTGAAGGCCTGGCAGGGGGTGGCAGAAGTTGGCAGAACTTGTTCAGCCAAATTACAATTGGGCAGGATCAGACATATCAATGATTATTGATTTGAGCAGATTTAAGCCATTTTCCTTCTTCCACTTATCTTCTGGCAGCAAAATGGGCAATGGTGGACACCTCACTGAGAAACTGATCACTGACCACTTCACACGGACCTCATCTGTCAAGAATCAATCTGGATGTCACTATTTTACATGTGATTACTGCAATGTCAAGCTGATTGAAGGACAAGATCAGCAACCAGCTGTGCATCTGTCTACATGCATGGGAGCTACTCCAGAGGTGCGAAGGGAAGCCCTGACCCACCTTTCAAAGAAAGGCAAGGCCGGCACTGATGTCCGTGGCCTGCTGCTGGGCCCGCATGTGAACTCATCCGAGCCATTGGAGAGCGCACAATCTCCTGCTGATGCAAGTGCCACACCTACCCAAGCTCTGATTCCCACCAAGAAGCGCAAGGGAGAAGGGCTCAATGGCTATGTAGATCATCCATTGTTGAAGAGCCAAAAAGAGATTGCCCATGTCAAGTTCTTTTGGTACCATGATGCACTTCCATGAGAGAATGAATGTAATGGGCTGACAATCTTTAGATTCATTGTCTACAGTAACAGTGCATTTTGTGTTGGGGACAACCTGTATCTAAAAGATTGGATCAATACCCTTTGTCCATCTTATGAGATTCCCTCTTGCTACATGCTCAGCAAATGACTGCTGGATGCTAAAGCTTTGCATGTGAAACTGGAGGACATTGATTGTGTCAAATTGTGTAAGGGAAACCTTGAGGCCTGATCTCAGAGTCCTGACAAGGGAGAGTCCAAAGCGTCAGATAAAGGGATTGACTAATACAGGAGACTGGCAAACCTGACAAGGGAGAGTCCAAAGAGAAACCAAGTTGGGGACTCTCCTTGTCAGGGCCCACTATATATAGCCTACGGAACAATGGATGACCAAGCACAATGGAAGCGCCAGACAATGGGGCCAGGGAACAATGAGGGGCTGGATCGGGGAGAACAATGGGAGCTGGACCATCGGAACAATAGAGGTCTGGGCTGGAGGGTCATGTGGCCGTGCTTGGCAGAGAAGTGCAGACCAAAGCATGTGATGCCTGACAGATGGCGCGTGTGCGGTCACATGCAAGATCCCATGATGATCGGACAAAAGCAGGGGTTGATGAGTCCCTGAAGAGCAGCGAGTCAAATATGGCCATTGCAATGATGCGTGGCTTCCCAGGGTATCTGCAGTAAAATGCTGCTACCGCATCGTCAGCAAACACATCTGAGTGCTTGACCCACTGGTCATGAGACGGGTCATAGCCCTTCCATCATACTTGGAACCAGACACTCTGGTAGCGCATCCTTGCGTCTAGGATCTCCTCCACTTCTCACTCCTCTCCTTTGCCTTGTCCCAGGACAGGGGGTGGTTCTTTGTGACGCGGACAAGTGGGGAACGGGTTGTCTTTGGCCAACTGGAGCTTGACCACGGGGAAGACTGGGTGGAGGCGAGAGAGGCTGGTGGGGAGAGCAAGTTTGTATGCGCCTCAACCCACAACTTGGGTGACTTTGAAGTGGCCCAGGCATTGGTAGAAGAGGCTACGAGAGGGTTGCGTTGTTCTAATGTCCGAGGCATCAAGCCAGACTTGGCTGCCAACCTTGATGTCGGGAGCAGCAGTCCTCCGTTGGTCGTAGTACCTCTTGTATGTCAGGGGATGCTGCGCTCCTTGGGCACGTGACCATGCATGTGACCCACTGTGCCCTCTCTGCCGACCCGTTGATAGGCTGGCTACCAGACGCGCTCTGCACCAGCTCTGTAAGGGCGTATTTTTGCGCTTTTTAAAGAGTTTACTCTTGAACCACTCGGTGTATTGTGTCGCGGTTAACAGTGTTGCGCTCAGTAGGACTTATGGGTCTACTGCCCAGTCGACGACTGTGGGTAGTGTCGACGATAGCAAGGCAGTCAGACCACTACTGTGGAACTGGTCTTATGAGTCTACACCAGGCTCAGGGCCATTAGTGACGAACGCTTGGACCGCGACCATTCCCCAAAAAGGGATATGTCGTTGCGTCGACTTCTCAATAAGGGTCATTCTCTGCAGATGGGAACTTGGGCTGAAGGGCTGAGCAATGCGCGACGTTCTCAATAATAGAACTACTACTGGACAGGACTTGGCGTTACAAGACTTAAACCATCTTGTCGCGGCAACTCCCGGTTTTGAGTTGGACATTTCCTCAGATCATGCCACGACGACGACTTGTCACATGTCAGGATCCATTCGATCACGGGACATTGTGGACGCGTCGCGGTGACACTTCCAAGTGTCACGGCGAGTCGCGCCCATACTCAAACACACTAAAACCGATACGGCTAGATCCGTGAACCGAGCCATGTGGGGGACGATTGGCGTGCCTAGAGTCATACGGCTTCTTGGGGCGCCCACGTTGGTCTCACATGCCAAGACATACCCGTTGGCCAATCCAGCACGTCGTATTCCAAAAGTATGACGCGGTGGGTTGGCCCACATCAAAAGTATCATATGGACGATGGAGCGGGGTCCTGATCACTCAGGACCTGTCCGATCGTTCAAACTTTTCAATTACCCTAAAAGGCAACCGATCTTAGATAGCGTAGCTACTATGCAGTTGTACAGGACTTTACTAAGCAGCGTCGTAGACAGTATAAGTAGCACGTCGTCTCTTTGTATTAGAGGGCTTTTCCCCGGACTGTGAATCACTACCATTTCAGATTGTTTTGTACAATTTGCGTGCCGCGTGATTCCACCCTAAGAAGTTCTGCCATCCCTGCCCGGTCGCGACGAGTTGCTCCCTGAGCACTTGTAGCTACTGTGATTTGAGTTTGAGTTGAGATATCAGAAAGTCGGATTCGCCGCATCTGGTATTGTCGCGGCATTTAGTGTCATCGCCTTAGGGCTTTGTTGAGATCGTTCCACACCTCTAGCTTGGCAGTGCGTCGACTAGTTGTGCTCGGGTTGTTTTGGTCAGTTGGCAGTGCGTCGACTTGAGAACTTTGGTTCCACACTTCTTGCTTGGCAGTGCGTCGACAAGTTGTGCTCGGGTTTTGGACATTGGATATTGGCTGTTAGTTGGCAGTGCGTCGACGCGGCATTTTGGTTTACTAGTTGGCAGTGCGTCGACTCAGTACTTTTGGTTGTGTCAGTTGGCAGTGCGTCGACTCGACATTTTGGTTTACTAGTTGGCAGTGCGTCGACTCAGTATATTGGTTGTATCGGTTGGCAGTGCGTCGACTTGATATTTGGGCTTTGCGTCACCATCTAGACGCTGTCGCTACAAGGGATCTTAATACTTCGTATTAAGCTCTGACTTGTTATATTGTTGTTGTGGATTGGATTAGTGTTGGTTGTGATCGTATAGAAGATATTGGTTGAGACACCATCGTTTGCTATATATATATATCCTTGTCATCGACTCCGTCTCCGCGACTATTGGATCTGCGTCCATTGAGAGTTGTGATACTGGTGCTCTGTCCACCCCGAAGCCCTCGCATCTT